GCACCGCCACGGCGCGCCCCGCGAGTGCGAGAGAGACAGGCGCTGTTCGGAAGCGGCCGCCCGGAGGCCCAGCCCGCTAAGGGGCAGCGCTGACAAGCCAAGCCAAGTAGGCCGGCTGGCGCGAATCGCCCCAATTCGGGTCCTGCCTGGTCCTGCTAGGTTTTAGCCACGCGTCTGTCGGCGAGGCAGGCGCTGCTTCGGCCCAGCCGTCGAGGTTCGTTGTGCTTGTCTCTAGGCAACGCCGGGACCCGCGACACCTCCTGCAGGCTAGGACACTGGGCGAAGAAAAAAGTCACCGAGCGGTCCGCCCTGATTGGCCAACGGTTTCGGGACGCCGAGGCGACCTGACTAATGTTCCTCGTGGAAAAGGGTCTAGTGGGACTCGGCCTGCGGTCCTCGCCGTGCGAGCAGTCTCGGCTCGGATCCGGTCGTCGGCCGAGCGCGGTCCTAAATCCTGTGCCGGCCGGGGAAGTCCCTGTGCGTGTTGGCGTGTCGTCGCGCGCGGCGGCGTGGCCGTTGACGGCGTGGTCCTGGCGGTCGGCATTCCAGCCGTGACGCCGCGCCGCCTCGCGAGCTGCAGGCAGGACTGCCATGCCGCGCCTAGCTTTGGCCTGCCTAGCAGGAGGACTCGGCTCCGCACAGGTTGGCTGCTGCTGCTTCGGGTTGTTCACCTCGCGGTCGTCCACAGCCCCCCTCCCCCTCCCCCGCGGCGCTCCGTGGCTCCGTGGGACCGCGGCCTCAGCGACGCCCGTCCGCGGAGTAGTGTCCCTGCCCGTCCGCCCGCCCGTCCGTCCGTCCACGCCGAAAGGAATGATAATTAAAACAAATTGCACGCTCCAAATTTGCCGCGTTGGCGTCGTGGTGCGTGATATGCAAAATTGTGACCGCGGCGGCAACGCGGAGTGGCGTCCGCACTTGTGGCTGTCGAAGGCGTCCGAGACTCACTTATTTGCCAATTTGTGTGTGCGTTCAGAGGTGCTGCCCGCGCGGGCCGGCCCGTAAACCAGCCCTCTCTCTCTCTCGCACTCATGGCGCGTCCCGTGGGGGTGCGAGAGAGACAGAGCGACGACGGCACTGTCGAGCCTGGTGGCTGACTGACGCTGGCTGAGCCGCGGCCGCGGGGCCAGCAGCGGGCAGCGAGGCGGGCACGGCGCGCGGCCAGCAGGTCGAAGACCTCGTCCTCGTCCCAGACCCCTCATCTTGCTTCGGCACGGCGAGGCGGCCGCGGTGCGCGCTGCCGGGCCGGACGTCAATGCCGGCAGCGAAGAGTCGCTCTGTCTCTCTCGCACCCCTGCGGGCCTACGGGACGCCCCCGAGTGCGACAGAGACAGAGCGACGACACTGTAGGCCTCCGGATCCTCCAGGTGGCGCCGCGGCGAATCGGACCGAAAAAAAAACTAAGCTAATGATGGCGCTGGTTTGGGAGCGCGCCCCTCCCCCCTCCCCTCCCACGGGCCGGCGGTCAAGCTGTTATGGCACTGCGGCCGGTGGGTTCGGTTTTACGCAGATGACATGGAGTCGCGGCACGACGGCGATGACATGTGCCATTCACCTCTCGTCGCTCCTTTTTTATTATTTTGCGTCGACAATCCTTTTTCCTTCTTTTTTTCCCCTGTGGGTCCTGCTTTGCACACGCGCCGCATGCTGCACTGCCAACTCGTTTTTGTCCGGTCCGGGCCTTTTCGGCGCGCCTGCATCATCGCGCTCTGCAGGTACACTGCGTCGCACGGCGTGGAGGCGGTGGCAATGGCCGTGACCGTGGCATTGCGGTGGCGCGAAGGCGCGGAGGCATTGCTCGCCTAGAACCGGCCCGGCTCGCCGCGGCCCGGCCCGCCAGGCAGGCCTAGGACCGCGGGCCCCGTGCACGCCACGCCATGCCACGCCACGCCCCTCGCGGGGAAGGGAAGGGAAGGGGGAGCAGCAGGAGATTTGCTCGCGTATTCTTCCTCCGCTCCTCTCTCGCGTCTCTCTCCCTCTCTCTCGTCCATCGCTCAAGCACCGCCTTTGTGGCGCGTCATATTACAGGGCAATACCACAGTCCGCAAAAAAAAGAGAGGGAAAAAATCCTTGTTTTTTCTTTTTTTCATTTTTTGAGGTCTAGTTGGTGTTGGTGAGATTGTGCGGCTGTTCCCGTCCGCTGCATGCCGGTGTTGCTGGCGCGGCCGCCCGCTTCCCGCTTCGCCGATGGCGCAAAATCGGCGGCGGTCGGTCGCGCTTCGGAACGCTAAGTCTCTCCGTCTCTCTCGCACCCGTGCGGCCACGGGGCCTGCGATGCGGGACGCCCCATGAGTGCGAGAGAGACAGCGCGACGAAGCACTTTTCGGAGTGGCTCTGACTTTGCAGTGCAGGGTGATATAAATTACTCGGCTGGCTGCCCTCCGTCGCGACAGCCAGGACGCTTCACGTCGTCGGCGTGCTCGACGGCGTGCTCGACGTACAGAGGGCTAACTAGCGAACGGCCGGCCCGCGCGCCTTGGCCGCCATGCTGCAGCCACGCCCGACTGCCGCCGTCCTGGCGGTGCCTGGCGTCTTCATCTACGCGTGACGAGTCTGACGAGTGGACCCAAGGCGTCGCGTCGCGTCGGGGTCAGCCCAGGGCCCACGCAGCGGCCGGCCAACTCGTCGCTGTCTCTCTCGCTCCCGCACGGAACGCCCCGCGAGTGCGAGAGAGACGCAGACTTGTTCGGAATGAGCCAGCAGGCCGCTTCCTACGTCACCGTCACTGTCACACCCCCACGGAACGCCCCGCCCCGCCCCGCCCCGCGAGTGCGAGGGAGACGGATAGCGACGGAGTCTGGCGCGGCAGGGCGGGGCGGCCAGCTTGATCCGGAAATAGAATTATTATTTCCTCCATCCAATCTGCGATGCGCACCTCACCGTCCGCGTTGTCTATGCTGCGCCTCGTTGTGCCTCGTTGTGCCGCTCGCATTCACCGCATTGCCCTGGCATTGCCAGTCGGCTAATGAGCAGCGCGATGCGGGCGTGGCGCCCCGCCCGCAGGAACGCCCCGCAGGAACGCCCCGCAGGAACGCCCCGCAGGAACGCCCCGTAGGAACGCCCCGCAGGAACGCCTCAGTGGTGTCGGTAGGTCCTCGGCTTTTCTCAGTACAGTCACGTCGGAAACGCTCTTTCGTTATTGCTATCCATCCTATCGCCTGCACTGCACATATCGCCATGATGCGATTGCTGGCATGGTCGGCGCGACGTCGTCTTGGAGCGAGCAGGCCGTATGGGGTTGAAAGGATTGGGTCGGGCTGCAAGGGGCGCATGTACACACACACACACACACTTTTAATTGCGAACGCGTGCTTTGTGTTTTCGTGGACTCGCGCCTCCTCACCTCTGCACCCGCAGCCCCTCCCTCCTCCTCCTGCTCCTTTCTCTTTCTTTTCCGATTGTTGTTTCTTTTTTCCCTGGGCCGTGAAAACAGGAAAATATGGCTGTTTGAAAGGATCTTACAAAGGTGGAGAGAGAGGTTCACCCCCAAAGAAAAACGACGGGAGCGCGTGGAGTTTGGCAAACGGGGCGGCAAAAGCGGCAAGGGCAGGTCGGTGTATGAATGCATGCATGCCGGGCAAAGCAGGTGGAAGAGGGGGGGGGGTAAAATAATTGGCACAGATGGATGCACGCGCCTGCCATTCCAGCCACACCGACTTCATCAATTTTTCGCGGCTCTGCCCGAGAGCGCCCCGCGGGCCTCGCGGGCCCAGTGTGCGTGCGTCGGCGGCGTCCCGTCGGCCGTGGAGCTTGTCGGTCGCCCTGTCTCTCTCGCACGGCCCCCGAGAGCGAGAGAGACGACCCGCGGGCCGCGCCGGGACGCCGCCGTGGCAATACACGTTAGTGCGCGGCGGACGCCCGTTTTTGGGACGGCGCCCTGCGTGGCCCTGCGTGGCCCTGCGTGGCCCTGCGTGGCCCTGCGTGGCCCTGCGTGGCCCTGCGTGGCCCTGCGTGGCCTGCGTGCCCTGCGTGGCCTGCGTGGCCTGCGTGGCCCTGCGTGGCCCTGCGTGGCCCTGCGTGGCCCTGCGTGGCCCTGCGTGGCCCTGCGTGGCCCTGCGTGGCCCTGCGTGGCCCTGCGTGGCCCTGCGTGGCCCTGCGTGGCCCTGCGTGGCCCTGCGTGGCCCTGCGTGCTGTTTGCGGGGGGAGGGCAGGGAGGGGCGTATTGGATATAGACTCGGCTCGGCTCGGCTCGGCCGGCTCAGGTGTGGCGCGTGGCTCGGCCGGGCTCGGCTCGGCGCGGTCCTCCTCCAGTGGCAAGTTTGATGGAATGGGATGATGCGTTGGCGGCCTTCGCGGCCTTCGCCTCGAGTCCCTCGGCCAACTTCGCCGGCGGCAACTTCTGGCGGGACATCGCGGCGCTGCCGGGGAAGGACGAAGGACGGCCGCCGGCCGCGTCGCCGAGCCCTTCAAGTCCGTCACTGTCTCGGCAGAGGACTAGAGTGGCGGGCGAACCGCGCCGCACCGCTGAGCGATTCGCTGTCTCTCTCGCTCCCTTACGGAGAGCCCCGTGAGTGCGACGGAGACAGAGCGACGATAAGCGACTCTCCCGGATGGCTCGACCGCATCGTCGCATGACGACGGCCGACTATTTCGGCTGATGGCGCTCCGCCGGGCTCCACTCACAGTGGCGGTATTGTAGCGAGCGACACCTGCCAGGGCGGCTAGGCCACTACACTACAGTGGCGGAGCTAGAGCCGCAGCTGCCAGCGTGCCCGATAAATGGCGGGGCGAGGCGTGGCGTGGCGTGCATTCCTTCCGCCTTATGATTTCGCTCGTGTCATTAAGACGGCACGGCCCCTTCCCGAGTAGTTCCATTTGCTGGCTGTCGCGGCCATGGCCCGGCCGGCACAGTGGGGACCCATCCTTCTCGCGTCTCCGCGCCGCCAGGCCGCCAGGCCAGGCCGTGAGCCACCAGGTCTTAGTTTGTACATCAAAAAAGTTTGGTTTTGAGGGTGTTTTTGCGTGGTTCTAACGTCGCTGTTTCTCCCTCCGTCTGTCCGCAGGAGATCCGCGAGCTGCTGTCGGACTTCCCCGTCATGTCGGTGCAGCTGCAGTGCGGGTCGGGCACGGGCGCCGGCGTGGCGCGCGCCTCCCTGGAGGACCCCGAGATGCTGGAGGAGTGGGACCGCGACCGGCTGTTCCTGCTGCGCGGCCAGCGCGTGCCCGTGGCGCCCACCCCCACCGACATGCTGCTGTGCGTGGCGCGGCTGCCGCTGCACTACACCGAGTCCCAGTTCATGGGGCTGGTGCGCTCGTACGGCGAGGTGCGCCGCTGCTTCCTCATGATCTCGGAGAAGACAGGTAACGCGCCCGGGCTGGAAAAGAACGGAAAATGCATGGTCCATCATCACAGCTTTTTCACGCTGAGTTTTCTGCTTTCTGTTTCCGGCCAGGCGAGAGCAAGGGCTACGGCTTCGTGGAGTACGTGAGCAAGGAGATGGCCCTGCACGCCAAGAACATCCTGGACCGCAAGGTGGTGGACGACCTGGTGCTGTGCTGCGACTGGCTGGACTCGAACCACGTGACGCTCGAGTCGCTGCACTCCAAGTGCCTGTTCGTGGACCACCTGCCCAAGGACTTCCGCGACATGGGCCAGTTCCGGAAGGTGTTCAGCGCCGTCGTCAGCCCCCCGTACTGCCAGGTGAGCCTCGCCACCACCACTGCAAAACTCGACCGCCTGGATCACGCCACTGTCGGCTAGGGCCGTTTTGGTAGTGGCGACCCTGGCGGCCAAGTTTTACATCGGTCGTCGTGTTAGTGTCGATGGACTGTCGGTTTGACTTGGGTTTGGCCCTCAGATTGCCCTGAAGAACGGCTGCCCGCAAGACTGGGGCCTGGTGGAGTACAGTACTGCCGAGGACGCGGAGGCGGCCCAGGCCACCCTCAACGGCTACTCGCTGTGCGGCCACCCCATCAGAGTGTCGTTCTACATGCCCGGCGTGCGCGCCATCAACCTCTACCTCAAGCTGCTCAACGAATCGGTAAGCACGGCCACCCGGTGCGGGTGGCGTGGGTTCGAGTACTGGTTAATTTAACGCGCCACGTGTGTCTCTAATCGGTTGTGTTTCCCGCAGAACAACAAGAAGAGCTGCGGGCTGCTCCCGGACCCCACCGCGCCGGCTGTGTTCCAGCAGCTGCAAACTCTGGCCAAGCAGAACCCCGTCTGTACGTATCTCCGATGTGGAGCATGTTCGCGGACCAGTAAAGCCCCTAGCAACCCCTCGCCGCCACGCCTCGCCACGCCTCGCCACGTGCTCCAAAGGCACCGAAGCCTCTGGCCGTGGGAAGGCTCGCGATCCACAAGCCTGTCGCTGACACCTGACACGCTCCTGACACACTTTGGCAAGGTCCGGGTGGGGCCTTCTCGGGGAGAGCCTCTAGGTCACCCCGCAAGGGCCTCCGCTACAGAAGCCCCGCATCCACCCCTAGTTCCAGTCCAGTCGGGAGAAACCTGGAACAAATTCGTGAATATTGGCGCGTGTGAGACTAACGAGTTCGATTGTGTCCGTTACAGTCGCGCAGAACCTGCAGAACATCATCATGACGCAAATCCAGAGCCTGCAGTCCGAGGGCAAGCAGCGCTCGCCGACGCCGCCAGGCAGCCAACCAGCCGCCCCGAAGCAGGCCAAGCCCACGCCCACGCCCCCCAACGGCCTCATCGACAGTGCTCAGGTACGCGTCCCACCCTCTAACCGGGTCCAACTGTCCGAAGGGCAGGCCTTTTGCTTTCGGACGGTTTCAGTCTCAAATGACGTCCCGCAGTCCCATCACTTGACGCCTTGTTCGCGCCCCCTGCAGATGCAGCAACTCAAGAACCAGCTGACCAACACGCACCCGATGCTGATGACCAACCCCCAGATGCTGGCGTCACTGCAGTCGCTGCTGAAGCAGCAGCAGGCGCAGGGCCAGGGCCAGCAGGGCGGCCAGGCCGGCCAGCCCGGCCAGCAGGGCGGCAACGGCCAGGGGCAGGGCGGCCAGGGAGGCCCCAAAGTCGGCGACGCCGCGCTCAACGGGTTTGGCAAGCACAACCACGCCAAGAACGGCTTCCTCAAGCCCAGCCAGCCGCAGAAGGTGAGTCGCGAGATCCATTTCGGGGAAGCAAAATCCATTTCGGGAGTGGGGTTCGGGCGGCGTGCCTCGCAGGCCTCGCATCCGCGTCTCGTGGCGAGACAGCTTTTCGTCCACGCCGTAGTGGGTGGGGGATTGGAAGCCGCGATTCTAGCTCTGCCCTGTCCCCCAGGTGCCGCTGCTGCCCAACCCCGGAGCCCACGGCCTGAGCTCGCCGCCGTTGGCGCCGCAGCCCCCCGTGAGTGTGAGTGCGCCCGTGAGCGTGGCGCTGTCGCCTACGTCCGACGTGTCGGCCTGGGCCCACGGCCAGCCCCACGGCCAGCCCCACGGCCACGGCGGCCTCATGCGCCTGCCCAGGCACCACACGGCCTCGCCGCCGTCCGGCCCGGCCGGGGGCATGCCCTTGATGATGGGCCTCGAGGGCAACGGCATGCCCAACGGCATGCCCAACGGCATGGCCTTCCCGCCGCCCGCAGGCGACCCGCTGCAGATGGCGGGCGGGCCCGGCGACTTGCAGACCACCATCAACAGCATCCTCAACAACCAGCAGAACCTGCGGCAGCTCATGGCCACGCTGTCGTCCGCCATCCAGAGCAACGGGCCCCTCGCCGGGCCGCCCCCCGTGGCCCCCGCGCCGCCAGTGCCGCCCCCGGGCGCGGCGTGCTTCCCCTTCGTGGGCCGGCCGCCCCCAGGCGCCGCCCCCGGGCCCGAGGCGGCGTGGGCGGGGCAGGCGTCCCGCTCGCTCATGAGCAGCCCGATCCAGAACATGCAGATGCAGCCCAAGCCCATGAGCTTCCTGGACATCAAGACGGGCACCCCCGGGCCACTGTTCGCGCAGGTGCCCGGCACCCAGTGGCCCGCCGCCAGCGGCTTCATGCCGTCGCCCGTGGGCATGTTCTCGCCCTACTCCGGGGGGCTGGTGCCCGGGCTGTGGTCGCCGACACCGTCACCCTCCCCCACCCTCAACACCATGATGACCCCCGTCGGCCACAAGCGCAAGTACAACCACATCCTCCCCTCGCCAGAGCCGTCACCCGAGGGCAACTACATCGGCCAGCACTCGCAGGGCCTCGGCGGCCACTACGCCGACTCGTACTTCAAGCGCAAGAAGAAGAACTAATGAGAATCGGGTGCAGCCGGGTGGCGAGGCAGGCGAGGCAGGCGAGGCCTCGCCAGGCTTCTACCAAAGCATTCCTGTTGTCGAGGTGGCATGTCCCTTCTCCAGCTGCCCTCGAGGCAAGCCGCAGAGCAGCTCGTCTTTATCCTCTTTAATGTTTGTCATCCACATGCTTGTAGCTATAGTGTATGTACATTTGTTGACACGTTGTTCAAACAATAGCCTGTTCCAAAAGTGTGTGGCGTTTTGTAGTTTTAATTTGGCTTTTTTTTTGTGCTATGGCTTTGGCTATGGTGTGTACCATTTTATGACAATGTATAGGTGCAGTATCTTGTGATCGGTTTCAGTTTTAAATTATTATTTTTATAGTAAGCCAATCATGACAGCTGGTTGTTTACATTGTTGTAAAATAGTGACCAAACTGATTAGACTTTTTGTGTTACTTTTTATGTTGACAGACTTGTATTAGTTAGGGTGCTATTAACAAGGACCAACTGTACACTATGAACTTTATCTAGAAACTTAGTACCTATGGTACCATTAGGCTAAGAGAATTCTTTGCTCCTAAGATCTCTTAAACTTTTATCCAATGAACTTCTTTCCTATTGGGGAAAGACAATGATTACTTGATTATACAAGTCGCAATAATTGTGACATTCGTGCTCACTTGAGTTATAGTAAATTATTACATCACGTTATTGTTAATAGTTATATCAAAGTAGAAAATTATTATGATTCATGCTTATATTTAATGTTTTTAGAAAGAATCAACTATTGTGATTTTTATTAAGACTATTGTTTAGAGTTTTTTTATGACAATCGCAAGGTTCTGTAATATTATTGCAGTAACTGATGTTATCTTTATACTATTTGAATCTTCTTGAATATCTGTCAACTTATTAGATCTCTTGACCACTAGGGTGAAGCCAAACATTGTTTGTTTGTTTTTTTTTTCCTTCACTTTCTTTTTTTTCTTCATTCACTTTATTGTGTTGCCTCTTCAATATTCTTCTTCTGTCCTGTGTGCTGTGTTTTTTTTAGTATTGATGTTTTTATCATTGACTTTTTCATTTCTTAGAATTGAAGACATGATTCTTGTATTAGTTATTTTTTTACTATATACTGTATCAAGGGTACGTGGTCTTTGCCTGAACTGTATTAGAGCTCCGTATTTGTTCTTACTGAACATTTTATGGGTGATTTCAAAAATTTGTGGGACATACCTTTTTGTCTTCTTGAACTTGTTTCTCTGTCTATCCTAGTTTAGATTTTACTTCATGTGCTATCATTCATGTTAATGTATATCTGTTATTCTGAAACAAATGTAAAAGCTGCTAACAGCATTTTGTTTCTCTTTCTTTCTGAAGTTGTTCCTTAGCAGTGTTTGGTGTCATGCACTTCTGCTCTGCTGGCCTTTGAATGTGTATTCAATAATTATCTCTATTTTCATTTATGAATGACATTTGTAACAATGTCATGCTTTAAATTACAGGTGAGGGTTGGGAATGGTTGGGCATTCATTTTTTATAAGATTATGTGCTATTTCCTCAAGCATGCCTTTATGCTCATGGTATTTCATAGATATTATCGATGTTTATGTCTCAATATGTCTGTATGCAATTGCGTGGATGAGTGTCAGTGAGTGCCAGTTTGTTTGCAAAACAGTGGCGTATTTGTGTGCCTGAGTTCTAAGTTGTGATAACAATACTTTGCAGTATTTGTACCTTAATGGATTGAGATCTGCCTTGATTGTTTAAATGAAGGGGCTTGACTCCTATTGCCCGAGTGATTAGTAATGTGTCACAAGTATTATATTTCATTAGGTCACGATTTCTAGTTTTTGAAATGAATTATCTCTACCATTTATTCTTTCCGCTTTTGTTTTGTTGTATTCATTTTCTTATTGCCGTACTCTATACCACCGCCATTATATGTTGTTTTATTTGTACTGCTGTGAAAAGTGTTTTCCAGCTGGTTTATGTGTGAAATGAAGTGAAATACCCTTTCTGTGGAGTTCCTTGATGATGCATGCCAGTATTAACCGACAAGATTTATATTCTCTGAACTCCACTGCAGGCTTTGCCCACTGCTTTCCATTTTGTGATGCTCTTCTTTCACACAGTACCCTACCAGTAGATAAATACTAGCTACCAGTAATTTTGTTGTATTTTTGTAGTTGTCTGTTGGAATGTCTCATCAGTATTTCTTCCATTTGTCTTTTACTACTTCATTTATTCTGTTCTTTTGTTTATAGAGTCCTCTCTTCTTTTTTTTTATGATTTTAAGTTGACTGTTAGTACAGTCTATGAACTGAATAAAAGTATCAGTAATCACTTTGCAAGTGATCCCTTACGTTTAGTCTTTGTATTTCTTGTGTTCTGTCTACTGCATCGGGCAGAAATAAATGGCAACTTCACAACAACATGATTGCATTTATTCAAACATAGGTGACATTTGTCATCTCCTTCCTTACCGCTTTCCCAAGTGTATTTAACATTTGCCGGTTTTGTATTGGCTTGGTCCTTAAAATTTTCCTTCTCAACAAGTAGCTGTTTTTGAATCTTTCCAATCTTTACACCTTTATTTCAAAATGTTATTGCTTATTCTGAGTGAGGAAACTCGTCTCTTGGATGTGTGTGTTTCCACTATATTCTAGACTGTATCTGGTTTATCTCCACTGGCAGGTGTGGTGGTCAATTTTTTCACAGGCCGGAAAATAATAACTGTGGCATCTGCTGTAGCATGTATTGATGCCTGCCTGCCCGTGGAGCTGAGCTAGCTTACAGCTTCATTCCGGGAAAAAAATGGTAAGTATGTCTTGACTAAGCCTTTCATCCTTTCAAGACGTGTGTTAGTGGTTAGTGGCCCAGGGTCCGAATTGCTCATTGGTTCGAGACTCATATGTGGTACTAACTCAATTGCTGTAGTGGTAGGCTTAACGTTTCACTCAAATTTTTTTTTTTCTGTAGTGTCACTCTGCAAATTTTGAAGTTACTAAGTTAGCATGATGTAAGCTGAGATAAATAATGGGGATGCTCTTGTGAATGCAACCATTGGCTGTGAACATAATTGTGTTTTGTATCCTAAAACACACTAAGTGTTAAGAGGAGAAATTAAATTAAATGTGATTTTATACATTTCATTCATAATATATAATCAACTATTATCTAGCAGAGATTGTTAAAATGAAACTATAATCGTTACTTCTGATAAATGGATTGTTTTATTGAGATCAGGGGAAATATTTTCATTTGTTACTTAATTATCCTGTATCGAAGTTGGTACTTTTCCACACACTCACACATACGCACACACCCACATATAACAGGAATAATAGTTCAAGAATTCCTGTAGACTGTGGTATCATCAGACAACACACTTGCTATTGTTTGTTGGTATGTTGGCTCATTTTTCAATACCAATACCCATCCCATGATCTAAAGGTGATTGGAGCAGTGGTTCAAAGGGAAGAAATTCTTAATGCTAATAATACAGAACTTACCAATATTTACATGATTTACACAACTTCAACAACAAAACTGTACTTGCAGTGAGCACTAAAAACATTGGAACTACTCCAATGCACACCTCCATAAGACATTATATTGAAATATGGTATTGAAAATCAAATAAAGGACATTACAAATGATAAATGTCAGTAAAAGAATTGGCAGGAACCTAAGGTATGAATCAAGTCAGCTTCAATCAAGCAGGATGAATAAAAGCCAATGTAAAAAGTATAAAACGCGGGCTGCTTCAATCAATAATATATTCACACACGGTAAGTCTTATTATTAAGTATCACATAAAGATAATAGGTTGCAATGTCACAAGACAAATTATCACATATCATTCAATGGAAGTTTTGGTCCAGCATTTTGGTTGCTTTGACTGATAAAATGTTCAGAGGCTGTGATGTACAGAGCTACAGCAAGCCCAATACCATATGCTACCTTCTGGTTGTTTTGAAATATAATGCAAGTTGCCACCGTTAATCCAGCATACACTGCATATCGGGCTACCACAACATGACGGTCTCTTGAATACTGTGCTTCATCTGGAAGGGAAACAGTCGATGGTGAAATGTGAAGCTACTAATAAACAGGTGACATTAAAATGTGACTCACCCTGACACATGTTGTCATTCAAGAAGTACCCTTTGGCACATGCAAAACAATTATCAGGACCGTCACCATCACAACCATTGCAGGCTCGGTCGCAATCTGAAATATTAAAAAAATGTTTTTGTTGTTGTTGTTGTTTTAAGAGGTGGGCAGACAATATCAAAATAAGTGAGATTGGCGCCAAAAATTTAAAAAAGAAATCGGTACAATAATGACATACCAAGGCAGGAGAAGGAGCCTTCATTATTTACGCAGAACTGGTTAGTGCCACAGGGTTCCCTGTCTTCCGCAACACATTCATTGATGTCCACACAGCCTTGCTCCACGTCCATTGAATAGCCTGCTTTGCAAGCTAGACAACCTGCAAAAATGTAAATAAGAAGTATAGTCCACAGACGAAATATGGTCTAAAACTTTCAAATTCAAAAGAATTAAAGGTTAAAAAATTACCTTTGGAACCTGCTTGTGTGCACGACCCTTGACAGGATACATGACAGGGTGAACAAAGTACAACTTTCTCGTCTTTGTAGGCTTGATAATAACCATTGGCACATGAACCACACTCAGGCCCAGTATAACCAGCATCGCAGGCACAAGCACCATTACCTTTACGAGTCCCATTACCCTGCAACAATCACTTCCATTGTAAACAAAAGGCTCAAAAATAAAAGAAAGATTAATTGTTTTTCAAATGATGAGAACTTCTAAAAGAATTAGAAATGTTACCTTGCATCTTCCATTGTTACTACAAACTCTATCTGGATAGCCTGGGCAGGGCGTACACTCCGGCCCATAATGGTCACTAGGACAACAGCTCTTGAGTGACTCTATGCATAAATAATCATGCAAGTCTGTGTCTTGCTGCATTTTGAACCACCATTCTTCAATGTAAGTTTCTGCCTCTTCAACCAATTTATGACACTGTGTTACAGAGAATTGATAAAAGTATTACATTATCTGAATGAAAAGACAATCCTAGCATTACACAAACAAATGTATTTAGTGACTTACTTGATCTTCCCCCTTCTCCAGTTCTTGGCATAATTTTTCTTGAATCTCTACCAATCTGACTTCACTGTTGCGATAGGAGCCCATGTTCTGTTCTTCCCAAGCAGTGTCCCCTCCATCAAACTTATTGCGAGCAGTTCGATCCATACCCTACAAGCATACGGTAAATTGGACTTACAAAATAATAGAGGAGAAATGGAAACTAATAAAGTCTGAGCAAAAGCTTCGGAGGAAGTAAAATAAACTTGCCTTTGTAAATGATCCAACAAGCGCTTTGCAGGCTTGGCATGGGGGCAGAATTGTGGATTTTGAAATTTGCTTTTCCACATATTTGTCAGTAACTTTTTTGCTGATCTTCTCCACATCTACTTCAGCAGTTGTCAGCAAAGGAAGAATGCAAACTATTATAAAAATACATCCTGTGGCTTCCTTCATGTCTTCGAGTATAAGGTTTGTTTGAAAGAAACTCTGCAACAATACAAAATTCTCAAATCAATTTATCTTTTAATGCAACATTTAATTCATAATTTCCTCAAAATTAAACATGCACAGCAACGCAGAAATTTCACACCCAACTTCATTTATGTAAGTTGAAAGAAAAACAAGGACCTTGCCAATGCAAGTCAGATTTTAAATATCTAAAAAATATTAATTTAGAACAAAGTCGTCCGAATGAATCTTTTAAATAGTATTATTTGGAACTGCTGTGAAAGAAGCTCAGAACAAAATAACCTCTTGTACGATCAGAGATATGCAAAAGAGAGGGAAGCAAAACACTTTGAGGCGCTGAAAATACTTTCAAAACTTCTAGATTACCTTAAGATATCCTAGCAAAGACTTTTTCTTCGTTGAACCTTGTTAAAAGTGCAAATCTAGATACTTCCACCTTTTCGCATCGTCTGCTGTTCCGGTACACGCCGTCATGCGATCCGATTGGTCCAATTGGACCAATGAGCTTCACCTTCGTTATTTGCAGTCATACCGACATCCTGTAAATAGTCGTGTGGTGCCGGTGGAAAAACGAAAAGCGACGCAAGGGTTCAAATCGGTTCCATCAAACTTAATTGTTTAGATAGCTTAGATTGTTTACGTTTCAGGAGAAATCATGGTTGACCGTTTAATATACAATACGGTGCTTTCGCAAGCATTTTCTCCTTGTGGAAATTATTTGGCTGCATCTAATACTTATGGCGATATTGCAGTTTTTAGGTACGCTGGAGGTGGTGCTAGAGAAGTGGATGAGGGTGGTCTTGTTTGAGTGAAATGTATAGTTAATTAGTCAATTTGCTGTTGGCATTAAGTTAAATTTTGGATCGGCTTTTTTTGTTTATGTTTATTTTAAGTGATATGGTCTATCACAAAATACATTCATCGCTGTGACCCTCACTAAATTTTCGTTTTCTTCGCCTGTAATTGTTTAATTCTTTCTCTTTTCAGTCTGAATAATGTTTCAAATCCATCAGAAGACATTAAAGCAACAAATGGAGTACAGCATCCCTTACATCACATCAGTGGTATGGAGGGTGGAAATGTATGCTCTCTTGTGGCTACTCCAGATTTTCTTATTGTTGGAGGCATTGGAGAAATTAGAGGTTTCGAATGGAAAACCATCATTTCTGGAAAAAGTGAGCAGAGTTTTAAAATACAAGTTCCTCTTTACAGGTAATGATGTTCTTGCTTTGTTTCAATAATATGCCCTTGCCAATGCATGTTGTTAATATCTTCCATTTTCTATTACAGAGATAGATCAGAGCCAACCGATGTTAACTGTTTAGTCTACAATTCATTGGAAAATCACCTCTATGCTGGTTGTGGAGATAACAACATTTATGTATTCAATTTGGAAGATGGAAAATTAATCAGAACTCTCAAGGGTCACACTAACTACATACACAGTATTCATATGAGGTAAATTAATATTTTGAACATAAACCCTTCTTATTTTATCTTCCAGCCTTTCAGCTCCTTTAACATAATTTTCCTTTTTAGCGACAATCAGCTAGTGTCAGCAAGTGAAGATGGTACAGTGAGACTTTGGGAAGCAAGGAAGTCCTCTCAAACAGGTGTTATCAAGCCGTACACAAATGGCCGACTAGCACGTCCAGAATTAGGTAATTGGATTGGTGCTGCTGCCATTAATGATGACTGGCTGGTAAGTAGATCCCCCTATTGCTGCATCACAAACACAAATGTTGATGAAATTCACTTAAAGCTGTTCCCCCTTTTTCGATAGGTGTGTGGTGGAGGACCAAGACTCGCACTATGGCACCTGCGATCAATGGAGGTCACAACCGTCTTTCCTGTTAATGATTTGAAGGGTGTCCATGTTGCGAAATTTCATGAGGACCGTGTGTTTGCTGGTGGAGCTGGTCCTAATTTTTATCAGCTCAGCTTGAATGGACAAATCTATGGTCAAATTCCGACATCAGCGTCCACTGTTTATTCTGCTGAGTTTCAAGAGAGTCCTCAAAAGGTATGCTCTTTGGGTTACAGTTTAAAAAGGTTAATGAAAAGTATTTGTTCACAAATTTACTATGTTATTTTTCTGTTTAGATTCTTGCCATTGCTGGTTCCAGTACATATGTGGATATCTGCACTAATTTCAACTACCTGGACCAAAAGCTTACTTTTGCCCTGTCCTCGAATATTAAATAACTTCTATAACTTTTGCAGCATAACATTTTACTACAATTTATGTACACAGTTTTTATGTTATCAGTGCAATAAAGTAAAATTGTGTTTTGATGGTTATCTGTTCTGTAACTTCTTTCTCTGTTTTTTACCCTGTGGAGAGGCAAAATAGCCCCGGTGCCCCCCGTCGAGGTGTATGGGTGAAAAATAAATAGATGAGAAATGGAATAAATTTTACATATTTAATGCCTAGGTTTACAAAAATATCAGATTTGACAATACAACTTATACAAAGCATAATTCTGAAACAATAATTAGTATGAATTCATAGCAAATAACTTAAAATGTTCATATGAACACCTTAAAGTGTAGAGGGCCAAGGACAATACATGGATCGGGAGGATGTGACAAAGTCAGCAGAAAATAGTCCCTTCAATGGAAACTGGGCAAGAAAACTTTAACTCCATTCCGTTGATGGAAACGCAGTAAGATTCGATAATTGGCTGAAGGAGATAACAACTTACCCTGGTCCCTCTCAAAGAAAATTAAAAATACAAAAATTAACGAAGCAAACATTGCAACAGCGTATTAAAATTGCAGGAAAACCTAAAGTAACATTAATATCACTCAAAAGTAGTATCATGCTTAAAAAGAAACCATTGGCAATTGAATGCAAATAGAATGAGAAGTAGCTTAATCAGCTGAAAATCAAATAGTTAAAAAAAAATCTAGCAATGGAGGTCATAAACAAGAAAAAGGAAACTGAAAAGGAGGAGAGGAAAACAAGGTTTCTCTTTGGGGTCGAACAAAATCGATTTCGGGAGGGTTTTTTCCCACTATGAAGAGACTTTTAGGAAGATCTCAAGGCATGTAAGTCTATCAACAACATTATCGCTAGGACTTTGGTCAAGCTTTTTCTTAAATGCAAGCTTGTACATTTTCTCCAAGAAGGGAGGATTGCAAATCATAAAGGGACCAGAAGCAAACAAAATCTGTTCACAAGACAATGCTATTTATGATCCTTCATCAAAGATTATGCAGAGCAATGACTGATGTGCCTCTCAGTTCGTTACCAAGGAAAACTCCACAGACATTTTACAGAATGTCAAGGTAGGGTGCTCCAAGGCAACAGGCACAGGGGAACTCAGCAAATTTAGGTGGTGATCATCAATTGAATTCACCAAATTGGTCCAAACATGGATAACATGAACTATGATCCAATTACTCAGAGAGCTTCAACATCAAATAAAGACAAGGGTAAATCGCTTTACTTGAGATAATTAGGCCTTGCTGAGAGATGGACAGTAGGCTTAGATCAAGACCATAACAGTAAATAATAAAATAGTAACACAATGAAGAAAAAAATAACCTTTTTCAAAATTTAAAAACTGCCCCCTTCCGAAATGTGCCAGTTCTGTATGACAGACAAAACCTACATTCCAGTTGTGATGTTATCAGTCTGTTGTAAGCACTCATGCATACAATATTTGACCAAACAAAAACTTACAAAGATCTACTGAGACAACTCTGCATCCCACACAGTTACAAGATGCATAAGACCAAATAAAAAAAGAAAAGAAAGTGAAAACTGGCTAGCAAAATAAATTATGAAAAGACACCATAGATAGAATAAATTATGTGTAGCTATCCAAGAAGGCAACTGAAACAAAGTCCTGGCTAAAAGAAAGTCACATGGAAAAACTGATTTAAATTCATTGAGCTACAAAGTTAGTTCCTGGGGGGAAATGGGGGCAAATAAACTAGGTCAAATACTATTCAAAGAACAAACAGTACAAATGTTCAATTCATCTCAGAACGGCTCTAACATAGCTTGTCTTTGATGGAATTACAAGTTTAGGCAGCACTTAAGTGGTCATAAGAACTTAAGGATACAACATACAGGTACCCCGTTCAAGTTCATCTGTGGGATATTACCTATTCCAAAATCACAAAATGTCATGACCAGATGGTAAGTAAACTAGACTGTTAAATGAAAGTTCTCAGTAGGCTGAACCTGCATCTAAAATCATGGACAGGCAAACATCAGCATGAATACAAGAATTTAAAAAAAAAGTGCATTACATCTAAATAAATCTCTGGACTTAAATCTAATATATTCACTTCTGTACAAGTAACTTTCTAAAGTAGTCAGTATTAGCCTTTCCTTTAATATCACAAATATATGACAAAAAAAAGATGCTCCAAGTGCAAGGAGGCATACATAACATAGAATATAATTTAGAGGAAACTTAATAGTTCTTAATGCAGCACTAACCATAGTTTAAATTGAAAAGCGATGTGATATAACACAAACAGTTCATTAATGCGATGCATAAATGTAGCCAATAAAATGAAATTGTTGTCATGTAAAAACACTCCTTCAACAAAATCTCAAAAATGGTCCTAGATATCTAACATTTTAAAAGTGCCAAAAAGGTGCACTTGATTACAGAGCTCCTGGCAGCAGGGATTATCAATCACATTACAAGAGATACCAAACAATTCCAAAACCTAGACCTGGAGTCATTTCAAGGGTGTATTCACGCTCAGTGATGCCTCGGTGGTGTACAGTTAAGGACTGGATCTGGACCTTACCAATATTGCTCCAGGGCCACCTCGGCATCAACCAGCGTGAATGAAGCCTAACTGAAGACAGACCATTCCAAAAGCCACAGTTAGATGATGATTACTGAGTCCAGAAAGAATACTCTCACCCAATATAAAAGTCAAGTCAATAAAGCTCCTAATAAACAACCTATTTTCAACACCACATGATGTATGATGATAGTTTCCAGTAATGTAGATCATGTAGTATTTCATTACGCTTCCTAACATAACAGAGGTTTTTGATTGTCTAGACTGTGAAAATAGATATTGTCATCTTTTAACATATTTAATTAAAATTGCTCATCTCCAAGGGTTTTGTTTATCTAGAAAAAATAGAGAGTAATTCGAGTAGAAAGGCAATGATCATCCAAGTTTAACTACAATACTTCTTTCGCTAATTCTCACTACCAAGTATAGTGTGATATGATTCACGCAACTGCTCTAAACAACAACAGTTGAAGTCAACATATTGATAGAGATTCAACAAATAAAATATAACCAGGGTACAAATTAAGTTCATGTACCATAGTTTCATGTAAACAATTCTTCAATGGCTGAATGGACAAAAGTCTGATTCAAGACATACAAGACCTATATTTTAAGGCATCTTCAGACATCTAAATTATGCTAAATTTAGCCACAGAGAAAATTAATAACCCTTTCCCCAATCTGTGTGAGACAATAAATAAATTTCATCAACCTGTACTCACGTGTATCAGAACAGCTGGCTTTTAGACTTTCCTTTTCATATTTTTCAACAAACACAAAAATCACAAGTGATAAAAATATTGCAATATTAAGTATGTTCAACTAAAAACCATCTTCAGCTTGTTTGATACTTTTTCTGATGAGGCAAATAATTGATTGGGTAGAATCAGAAAAGCAAACCAATAAAACATGTATTGTCTACATACGCAACATCAAATGTAACTCACAAATCAAATTAGTACCTTCCTTCTACTCTTTCCTAATTGGGCAAAGTTTTTCCTCGCTATCTACCACCCAACAGGTACTAATACTGAAAAATATCTCAATTAGAGAAGTAACACAACTAAATGATGACTTGTGCACCACATTACCCACTAATGACGGTATTGATAAGCGAGGATTTTTCTATTTAGTCAAGATATAGTAACATTAAATAGTTACACAATCACATTGATTTCATAGCTATACAAAAAGGACAAAAATTTCAGAAGAAACTACAAAATATTTTAAAGTCTTCAATGGGTACAGAGGTTGATTTTCCCATTTTTCAAGTTTGATAAAAAATAGTTACAACAAAAATTATACACATCAAATTGCAAAAGATTGCCTGACCCTGTACATCTTGGTGTTTTGGTTTACTTACATCAATTCATAAATGACAAGCCGACAACATAACACAGTTCATTAGGTGAAATTTGTCTAAGTTCAATGGTGATTTTCATAAGAAAGGATTATTTGAATGGCTTCCAGAATTGGAATTGGGTCCCAACTGAAAAGAGATAAGCTTGTTGTGATTGACAGGCGCACATTCTGACTTGTACTGCAGTTTTATACTTACTACAAATGGATTTCCAGTTTGCTCCGTATTCCAACTTTTAGTTGGGAATGTGAGCGATTGACTAGTAGGAAAGGCTGAAGAATTGACGTGGAAGCCATTGACTGATGATGCACCATTCATTCCAACAGCTGCACTGGACCCATTCCATGCAAATGGCATTGGTTGGTCTGAGCAAAAACGGGGAGCATGAGATAATTTTATTGATTATTATTAATATACATAAGCAACATTTGATGGCAACAGACCTGACTGCCTAGTTTGACCAGACAAAAAAGGGTTGGCTACTGCACCTTCAGAAACGTTCCAGGGACTCGAGACTGGATCTTAATTTGCAAAGAGAGAAGCGCAAAACAATTTAAAAAATGTACATAAGTTTAAACATACATAACACTACTGTAAAATGCGAAATATAAGATAATGACACTTACTGGTGAAGGGGTTGGAAGTACTGCCTCCACTATTGCTGTCTGGTGGAAAACCAGATGAAGAAAATCCTCCTGGCTGGGGTGAGGTTCCAAAAGCTGCCCATGAGGGTGAGGGTGCAGGTTGTGCTAGCAATAGAAAATATATTAATGAGAGAAGTTTTCAAAACATTTTAAAAATGCTACACATATACTGACTAGGCTTACTTTGTGTCCAGTCAGGTTGAGCACTGCTAACAGTAGGGTTTTGATCAGGCTGTTGGGATTTCATTAGACTATCCAAGTCCTTGAGGGCAGCATAGCGGTCCTCTGCAGGAGGTTGTTGGAACATGGTGCCACCACCACTTGAAGATTTCCTTGCGTTGACGCCAGGAAAACTTTGAGATGTTGACAACGAATTTCCCGAGGGCATACCTGCAGGAAGTTAACAAAGACAGTTACAGACTTGATCAAGACATGTTTTCAATCACTCTCACAAAAAAAAAACTAGAAACATGTTATTGCTTTGATCGGAGTAGTTCAGGAATGTTTCCATGAAGAAATAAAACTTTTCTGAGCAAAGTTGTGGGATTAGAGCTACACAAAATAGCAAATTTTCAAAAACAAAAAAAAAAAAAAAAGAAAAGAGGTTAAATTAAAAGTATTATTAGCACCACTTAGTACAAAACGCAAGTTGAATAAGTGGTCCCTACTCCCTACAAAATGTTTAACACAGGTCTACAAGCAGTCTATAAATTTCCCTGCAGAACTAAAAGCCTTGGGAATAGTGAGACTTTGTGATATCCAGCTAGTTGAACACATTTTACCTAGGATGTAGTTAACACCAAGACAGAAAATTTTTAAAGAGGATATTATTTTATGCAAACTAGCAGCTGGATTGAGATTTAAAAAAATAAAATAGAACAACATGCAGTGACAGGTGTTGATGATTTTGTGGCTATGATCATGAAGTGAGGGTAAAACAAAGCCACACACGAGCCCTTTACAAAAATAAAAAAGTGGTTCAGGCAGAGGGGCAATTACTTGCACTCACTCCAGCGATTGGGGTTGAATTTAGATGAAAAACTGAAAGCATCCCCATTCAAAGACAGAGCGGGAAAAGTAGAGGTTTGACCTGATGCCGCTTCAAAGCTTGACAGAGGAAAACTTCCAAAGAAGTCTGTTTCTGAAATAAAGGTAGAATTTGAACATGTACATGGTGTGAACTCCATTAAAACATCATATAAAAACAACATTTGGTTTGGAGAATGTCTGCAGACAACATTTTAAGGTTGCAGAAGCATGCATTCAAAGTTTATAAAAACTGGGTAACCCGTACAGTTGAAATTAACACATTTAAACTTACAACTGAAACAGAGAAGTTTGATATACACAAAACCCTGTTGAAACTCACCATTGGAAGCCCCAAATATGGGATTATTATCAAAATCAGCAAAATTCATATTAGAACTGGTGTTGTTGGAAGGGGATACTGATGGCATGCCAAATGGATCAATTTTATTTCCAGAAGCACTGTTGGTATTGGAAGCACCTAAACTTCCAAAGTCAACAAGAAATCCTGATGACGTATCATCTGGAGTAAAAGTACTTGGAGCTGGTGGTATCTGGAATGATTGTTAAAAAAAAACTTTCATTAGAACACTATGGAGCCAAATTAAAGTACCAAAATAATGCTGATGGAGTAAGACACATACAGGATGACTAACAGTACTAAGTGATGGCAGAGTAATACTGCCCACTAAACTTGAGAGTGGTTTCACGGGTGACATGGCACTTGCAGTATTAGATGAGTTTAAAGCTGATGTTGAAGATGAACTAGATATGCCTGCTTGGGACATTGTTGAGGCACCATTCAAATTAGCCATGGAAGGGTCTATGTAGTACCTGAAAATTAATTGGCAAATTTTAAAGTCAGTCCATAATTAAGTGAAAAGTTTGTTAGTTAAAAGAAAGTACCACAATCTCACCTTTTCTTTTCATATTTTGCAATCATGAAATCCTTAATTCCTTGCTCATCTCTGGCATCATTTGTACGTCCTGGTTCATACAATCCAAGCCATATTCTGCGGCAGTACTGAGAGAATGGGAAAACACTGGTTATAGAAGTCATCTGACTGGTACATGCTGAATGTGTCAGCACGCCCAGGCTTATCATGAGTGAGATAAAACAGCCAGATGGGGAACACACCCCCAGGAATGGTCATGCTAACCAGATATGCAGCTCAAGGCTACAAAAGGCAGCTATTTATATAACATTGGCCTGCTTTAATTGATGCGATAAAAACATACCTCATTTCCTTTGGATGATATAATATCAATTTCATCTGGAGTAAAAGTAGCCATTGATATGGACTTCACTCGATGAGGTGGAGTGAGCCCTCTCCTGCAAAATTGAAAACATTAGGACATGGTGAGAAATAAGATTAAATAAGTTGCGAGGCACAGTTAACAAAGGAAGTGAGCAGACTTCATTGTCAAAGACATAATAAAAATAAAGATTGATAAAATGATGAAGCTTTGGTAAAAAATAATGAAAAGCCGAGACAGAGCTTGGAATTAGTGCAAAGAACAAGTAACATTTGCTAGAACATTCCTTTGACAATAAAATATAATGTTAAAAAATTTGATGGATTTACACTTACGTAAAGTATGTCAATAAATTTAAAAATAAAGGATGGGCGAGGGGCTTACGCGAATAGAAGGGATTGGTATATTACTTTTTACCATCAAAAAACATTGAGTTTGCAATTTCAACCTATGAGTCATAGCTCTCCAACCACTTCAACAGTTATTTGGTTAAGGAAACACGAGACGTTCTACGGTTCGTGGTTCGAGGAAACAGAGAGAAAATGAACGATGACAACTTATAAAAAAATGAAACAGGAGACAGCAAAATGAATAAAATTGGGCAAACGAGATAGAGAAATGTCATAGCAGAGAGAGAGTTGGATAGTTGGATAGGCCCAACGCTTCTGCTGGAGGTACTTACAGAAGCCCTGAGCAGGAAGTGCAAACAAAGGACCCTATTGTCATGTTCACATAAGTAGGTCCTCTTTGATGACAGTCGAAACATTGTCGATTTGGAGGATTTGACACTAAATCACGTAAAATTTTGAGGTGTTTTTCGTCCTGTTTCTTCCTAGCGGAAGCCATGTTGAAACTATTGCAAGATGGGAAACATTACTACACTTTAGAGAGGGAGGAAAATGCAGGGGCACAAGAGTTGTTGCCAGATGCAGCACAATTGTTAATGCTCACTCGTCGTCCCGCTTCAACTATTTGCTAATGGCACATTTCCCTGGATGCGTTACAGAGAGGAGCCTTCTCTCTTTCAAAATAGTTCACCTTGAATTTGAGTCTCTCGGGGTCACCATAGATGGGCCCATTCCCCATCCCTCATAACTCATCAACTTCACCGCATTCAAGGATTTCTATCGTTTTTCTCTTTTAATTATGCCTTGTCTCTAACGGATTCTAATACGGGAGAGAAAGACGTAGTTCTTGTTCTGAACCTAGCTGAACCTGCTGTCAAAAATTTGGCGTCGGCAGTGTGGTACCCATCGCGCGCGCGACGTAAACACTACAATGGCGGGATTTTTGCCCATCTGTCAAAGTGCCGATTATGCATTGTCGATTTTGGTAAGTTGAACATACGTGCTGTTTTTTATTGATTTATTCTTTAGGTTTGTACTCGACCATATTTCGTATCAGTTCTTCAACTATGTCTTCAAATATGTGGCCTACCATATGTCTCATGTATCCCTTAACCTCAACTCCTTGCCATATACTTGTTCCTTCTGCTTCTAGCTTGTCTCCGACATTGAAAGCCAGCTGAAAAACTTTTCGACAGTGCTCAATGACACAGGAAATGGAGAAAGAGAAGGTTCGGTCAAAGTGTACACTTGTGAATCAGTCTCTCAGATCGTACATTTGAAGGACAAGCCACAGTGTGACTTTGTAGCCTTGTTTGTCAATGAAAAACGTTTCAACGCTATACATGAGGTATTGACTTTAGCTACTTAGACATTTTTCGTACTTGATATGTTCATACACTGTGATGTCATTTTGGATATTCATTTATTTCGGCTATACATTCATTCATTGAAACACACTTGGGGTCTAGTCATGATACATCCATTCCTTTTTTCAGGTTGAGCAGAATCTACTGAAATTGGATCAGGCTTTCATGTTTGACCGTGTATGTTTAATTTGTGACAACGTTCAAACAAGTGGTGGGTTCATGCCAAAAATCCTTCACCTGAAACACAAATATCAATTACACGCTCTATGGGGAAATCTAGAGGTACGTAAATACCATGAAACCCAAAGACACTGTTACTGTAGCCCAAAATTTGAACTGGAACATTATATTTCAAACCCACAGGGTCTAGACTAAAAGGCGCCTTCGATTGTTTCTTCAATTTATTTTTATGGTGTTTTATTTTTTTAGGAGGAGTTTGTAGGTGTCTGCAAACGCCTTCTGAACCTTGCATCAGCTGTGTGTGGCGCTACCACAGGCTTCCCTCTCGTTACTCATAAAGTATGGCATGGAAGATCAGGCTCGCCCCATGAATTCTCCACCTATGAGTCTACGCAAGACCGAACATTTTGATTTCTGTACTTTGTTGTATCTACTTATAATTATTTTATTTAACAAACATTGTGTGATTTAGATGTCTTTAAAACTTTTATTTTAAGTAAATGTGTTATTTCTGTAGAGAATCGCTTGCTTCATCTTCCTTTTCACGAGCATATTGTTCATTATTCTCGTCCGACGATTCACCTCTTTTGAAAGTCCGCGCCTCGCGGCCTTCACATCCCTTCCCCTTTCCCATCCCCCCCCCCCTCCTTGCCACTAAAGAAGTTAACCTAGGTTAGTTCCGATGGATCAATATAAACAGTCAATCAACAGGTAGTTTGGATTATGAAGTGAGTATCCTGGGTTGTTATAAATCTATGATGGGTCATATGCAAAGCCCTCTCATAGCTGATCATTTTAACCGAAATCGCTCGCTCCCTTTCATTTTAAGTTAATTTAGTCTTTCATTAGACCATTGTGTGACTTGTAGTGCAGCAATATAGCAAAGAGGTAAGGTGGCTTTACGTCTGCTGACTAACAGTAAATTTCATGAAATAAAATGTCTGTTTTGATAGTTTAGTGTAGAAAGCAAAACCTTCCTTCAGTCAACTATAACCTGAACTCCACACTACGAGAGTGCAATTTGGATTTGTTTGTTTTGAGTTTCTGGTTTTGAAGTCTTGATCCTCAATTTGTTTCAGGATCAGAATTTGAAGTTTTTACTCAGAGGATGTATGACGGAGAACATGAACGTATCATTCATCATGATGGCTTTTCGTGGCATCATCAGGAAACTTGGATTGCGGCGGCTTCTTTTTCTATTATTTGCTTCCTTTTTTCTTATGCTGGTTCTGCACAGTTCTATGAAACCAAATGTTAGAGATATGTTAGAGCTTAACAAGTGTCCCGCATGTTATGGAGTCTCTCTTTGTAACGATATACTGCAAGGGCCTGATGAGGTGAGTCACATTATGTTTGGCATTAAGGTATTAGGATCATCATGATGCTAGATTTTGTTGCTAGTGGCCTTCTCATGAAAGGGATTTGACTGTTTGCTTCAAATGTACTTGTATTTGCTTTTCAGATTTCTATCAAATTTGATTTTTGGGGGCGTCTGGGACTACTTGCAAACACTTTTGCTACGAAGAATGTTTATTCTGGCTGGTTTAACCATCAAAGAGTGATAATTAAACGTCTTGGCCATGATTTTGAATTACAAAATATGGACAGTTCTATTTGTCAAGCCATGAAAATTGATAACAGTTGTAATGATCAAGTGAGTAAACCTGCTCTGAAAGCTATTTCAAGAATACGAATGGTAAAGCCAACATCATTTTAAGTCTGCTTCTTTTATTCTAACTTGTAGATGAAGTCAGTTGTGTTTAAAGTTATAAGTATGCGCAACTCTGTGGAGAGACTTTTAAATGAGTCAGCGAATTTAAACGATTATCGTCTCAGACTGTGCCCATCAACAGAACATGTTGACACCCTATTCAGCCCTATACTGCCAAAAACTAATGGTACAAATTCAGTCAAACTTGGTAATGATCCAATTACAGCCAATATTTGGACTTTGCTTCTAATCAACCCAGAGCCTCTTCTACTGCAAGTAAGTAGTAGTCCTTAAGCTTTGTTCTATATTTTTGTTCTGAATAGTGTGTGATTTAAATCTTCATTGCAGATCATGAGAGCGGAAGATGGCTGGCCTGTGCCTCACTACTTGGGTGCTTGTGGGCGTATTGCTGTTGCCTTAAATGCAGGTGAACCATTGATTGATTACCACAGGAAATCGTGGCCGGAAAGAGCTGGGTAAAGTTTAGTTCCTTCTAATAAATTATTTGTGAATAATTGAAAAAGTTCATGTGTGTTTCTACTTTCAGATTAGCCCTTCAGCTCCTTTTAGCAGCAGACCGCTTCACATACTCTCATCCTAGATTTGCATTCTATTTATTGGATGCATCTGCAGATAATGTAGTTGTGAATGATCAGGGAAAACTTTCCTTCATAGATCTGGAACATTTTGTGGTTGTTGATCGTCATCCATCAAGTAAGTAATTGTATGGGTTATATAGAAGAATTCCTCTGAGTGCCTGTACATTAGTCTATGTTTTAAGTGAACTGAATTTTCAGGTGTTCCTGATATGTGGAATGAGACTCATTTCAGTGAGTTATACATGGACTGTCCTGGTTGCAACACATTCTCTCCATATAATATATGCAATCACCACATTAGTGATCACAACCATTTTATGATCTGCCAGGTAGTTATGGTTCCTTTCCTGGCATATTTTTTTTCTTGATGTCTTATGTTACTTTAAAAAAATTAATGTAACCCTTTTTTGTAGCAACTTCTTGCTCCAGGTGTGGGTAGCAATGATAACTACTTACCAGGTGGTCTGTTGCATTCGTTTCCACCTGAAATACAAAAGGAATATCCACAAATGGAGCATTTTTTGAATGAATGTTCAACAGGAGCGTCAACTGATCACATTAAAAGTGCCCGACGCCTAAGAGATATTTTAAATATTGCTTCCAAAGAAAGTCCTCTGTAAGTCCCTTTAATTAAATCAGCATGATTGTATCTACTGTTGAGAATTGCATTAGCTCCAAACTGAACTTGGTTTTCTATTTCTGCAGGTTTGGAGATAGTACTTTGGTAAACACATGGAAATATTTCTAAATTATTTTTATATTTAGGTTTAAGGTATGCAAAGCACCATTTAATGCATTGTTTTCCAGTTTGTGATAATAATTTATCAAGTACTGTGTATTTTAACTGTTACCATTAAGTTTTAGTGATCTCATTTTAATTGGAAATATTACTGTAACTAGTGTCAAGATATTTATGCTCTCTCACTCTCATTGTTCTCTCGACATTAAGTGTACTGTCAATTCATCTTTATTCTCTTATTGTTTGTAGTAGCTCCTTGAAAATTACCAAGGAGGGGCATTTTACCCTATATTTTTCTTCCCCAACTTACCCCCTAAGGTTGCCCAGTGGGCCCAGACTGACAAGTCTTTGACAACCAGGCTGCCAAATAAATAAAACGTAAGAGGAAAATATTTCATTTATTCCTACATCACAATTTACATACTTGATTTCAAGTCTCTGACAGCCTTATTTTGCATCCCAAGCTAAGTTGATCTTGATATTTCATTAATTCATATTTCATTCTTTAATAGATCTTTAAAAAAATTGTTATCTCTACCATGAAATTCATGTCTGGTTAGCCAAACCAATGACTTCCCATGCAATCTCTGGTCCACTCTGTTTGACAAACCCAACACCAATGGAAACCGCATTGAGGCCTGGTGCATATCATATGCATGCAGCCCCCTGGAAACATCCAATGAATCTCAACTACTGAACCATAAAAAAGATTGAGGAAAAATGTGTATTCCTACTCACCACTCCTCTCAGTTGGTGTGCGACACTTAGGACAAGGCTTAGTGGTAACACGAATAGCTGCTTTGGTTGCCTCATCCCACCTGGCCTAAAAAAATCAACACCACACTGACTGATGGTTTTCAGTTAAAATAGAAATCTGCACCCAAATTACTCACTTGACTGGCACGAACGGGGTCTACATTGTACTGACAATTAGAGCCAAGCTGTCCTGTATCATCTGTCTCAACATCAGAACATTCTCCAAGATGATAACCTTGCCGACATTGCCGACAAAACACGAACTGGAAGGAAGAATGATCAGAGAGATACAGACAGTCTTTTCTTGTAATATCTTAAATGCATCACATGCAACAATACCTCACATCCATGAGCACAATGGATTTTTCGGCAACCTTCTGGGGCCAAAATCCCCATGCCACACCCTGGTTGTGGGCACAAAACACCGCCGGCTTGGAGTACAAACTCTTCAGCTCCAAATCGCTGATACATGGCATACTGAAATTGGGAGACAAATGGAAAATGTCAACACAAAGATCCAAAAAGTTACCTCAAAACCAGATCTTTTCCAATATTACTTGCTCATCAGTGAGTAAGTGGAAGTGATGCACTTCCTGGATGAGGGAATCTGCACAGCCAGCAGGGCATGGAAGGGTGTATCCTAATTCTGGATGTGACCAGAACTGTCTGTCTCTGAGGCGAGAAATGCAGTACGCCTGGAAACAGTCCAGGCATGTCACATGCCCTTCATGGCACGGAAAAACAAGAACAGGGTTCCTGCAGAAAAACAAACACAGATTTTTAAAATTTTTAAGAAGTCTTGAAAAACACAACTTTCAGTAACTATGATCATACTTAATTTCGGTGCACGCAAGACACGGAACGTCTCTAATATTTGTTTTTACCAAATCCAGAGGCACAGTTTCTTCATGTTCTCCCTGAGAAGCGTGCTCTGAGCATTTAAAGAAAAATTTAGCAAACTGGGGTGCGCCTTCTTCTGGACATTCCTGAATACAAATGAAATCAATAAGACATTTTACATCTTCAAGTAAGCACTAACAATGAAAAATTCTTCAACATACCTCACATGTTCCTGAGATTTTCTGCTCTTTCAATACATCATCCCAGCACTGTGGATCCCTGTCAACTGTGAATGCACCACTAGAACAAGTTGCACATCTTACTCGCAACTTCCCGGGCCTCAATTTCTTACATGGATGTGAGCAGTATACATAAAAGTGAGCTCTTCCATGTTCAGGGTCTGAAAAAAAAAATTTAAAGTAAAACTAAAATTCAAATAAAATTAACTGAGGGGCACAATAAATAAATAAAACGCACCATTGTTCTTCTCTAAATTGTTCCGTTCATTGGCAGTGAGCTGCCAATCAACAAGTGTTTCATTCATTGGACGAGAACCTTCTACATCACTCTCGTCCCCATTTTGTTGTTTCTTATCAATGTGACGAATTTTAACTGCGTGTAAAATGCTTTGTTGGCCTAAATCACATTCCTTTCAAAAATAAAATTAAAGGGGTTACGTGACTAAAATGTAAAACCATCATAGGATATGTATTTTGACTGACAGTAACAAAACTATATTTTAAAAATTACTTTACCTCAATCACAATACAATCCATAAGTTCTTTCCCAGCAAATATTATTTTAACATCATCTGGAGATAAACCTAACTTTGGTGCAATCTTTTCTTTCAAATTTCGTATGTCCCATTTCGGGTCCAACTCGACTGACAGAGTGTTACCAACACTGGATTTAATGTAGACGCTCAACGAATTTGACATCTTAATTTTGGGAGTAAATATCAAATGTAACAATACTTGAATTAAATACCGAAAAAAATCTAGCATTCTGTTGCCTCATCCTTTTGTTGACCTTTGTAGTTCCACCTATCGCCACGGCGGCGCTGCGGGCGGGGAATTCTTCCGCACCCGGTTCCGCTTGGCCAGTGGCGGGAACGGGGGATACTGGCCAGGCCCGAAATCGAAACTGTCGAAACGCGGCGCGCTCGTCGTTACAGTGGCAGCGTGGCAGCGACAGCGAGAGTCAACATTTGCCCACTCTCGATGGGGGACGCGGATTGAGCCCCGCGACGTCCGGACGGGAGGGAGACCTTGAAGCTTGGAGTCCGCGGAGAGACCGCCCTGAATAAGGCACGAGGCGCGAGGCACGCGACGAGGTTCCGCGTTTGAAGCCCGCCATGTGTGTTTGCCTCCCACGAGGACCGAATGCCGAATACCCAGGGCCCGTTCCATGACGCCCGACAGGTGTCCTCTGGGGCGGCAGGGTGTGGGGTGACCTTAGCGATCCCTCACTCTCGCATGCGCCCTCTCGAACGCGGACATGGTCAGGAAGTCCCTGGCGGTCATGGTGGTGCTCATGGTGACGGCGGCCGGCGACTCCGCCGAGGACATGGCCTCACCCTTCTCCGCGGCCACCGAGGTCGCCGTCCAGGAGGTGTCGCGCAGGGGCCTGCACCGCGCCATGGCCTACGTGTGCTGGGGCCTGGGTGAGTGCGGGTGGGAGCGCGCTGCGTCCACTTTCACCAACCCCGACCGTCACCACGATGTCCGTGTGCTGCAGCCGCCGAGAGGCGCCTTATCCTCGCGTTGTCCTCGGCGGGCGTGGCGGCGAGCCTGTTCCGCGGCCGAGTCCACACGACGGCCGCCGCGGTGGAGGCCGCGCTGCGCGAGGGCGGCGGCCAGACCGCCATCCTGGTGGACTTGGACTGCCCCGCCGCCTCGCGGCTCCTCGTCATGGTGATCGACTCTCTGGCTTTCACCCGTTTGTACAATGCTTTGGGGCTTCCTGTTGAACTTGCGCCTCAACTCGCAGGCGTCGCGGCTCCGTTTGTTCGACCAAGCCAACTACTGGGTCGTCCTGGACAACGGACGCCTGGAGTCGCCGAGTCAGCTCACGCCCACGGACCGCACCGTGAGCTGGTCGGACGGCGCGGGGGTGAGCACGAGTGTTCGGCAGCCTACTCGGCCGCAGCGTGCACTGGAACACGTTCACCGTGTCCTTGTCCCCAGGAGGAGTTCCCGAACCCCGAGCTGGTGCCGACGGGGCGGTACGGCGCGCAGAACCTGGAGGACGCCCTGCTCCCCGACGAGAAGGTCCTCCTGCAGGTGGTGCCGCCGTCGTCCAGGCCGAGGCCCGCGGGGGAGCCACCCCTGCACTCGCAGGTCAGTCATTCCAGCAATCGGCCTTCCGGTGTGGCGGTGCCGGGCGGTGCTGAGCGCGCACCCCACTGCGAAAAGGCCAAGTACTGACGTTCCCTCCGCCAGGTGTCGCTGCTGCCGCCCTCGGCGCTGCGCGTGCTGGAGACCCTCGTGGTGCTGAGCGACAGCGACGTGCTCTTCGTGCAGGCCGCGCGGGGCCGGCCGCACAGCGACACCGGCGGCACGGCCCCCGACGACGCCGTCCTCGACCCCTGCGGCCCGGGCCGCCAGCTGCAGGCCTTCGTCGTGTTCCGCAGCAGCATGGCGCGACCCCTGCAGGTGAAAAAGGCCCCACGGTGGGACTCGAACCCGCAGCCGCGACGTGTAGTGTCCGCAGTGTGCCCTTGCCGCAGGCGTACCTGGCGGCCGAGGGCTGCGCGGCGGACGCGAGCAACGACACCTCGTGGCGGTGGCTCTTGTCCTCGGCCGAGGAGCGGGCGATCCAGCGCAGACGCAGCGACCTGGAGAACGCCACGCTCCGCTCCCCCATCATCGTGAGGGCGACGCCGAGACGAGTGGCGTAGCGTCAGCGTCGCAGCGGCCCAGCCAGGCCCAGCCTGACTCGATTCTCATTTCTCTTCCAGATCAACTTCCCCCAGTTCTACACCTTCATCGACGACCTGCGCGAGCGGAAGCGCGACTACCGGCCGAAGACCAACTTCCCCGTCGTCAGGAACATGGCGGAGCAGGCCAACTCCCAGTGCGCTCACTAACCTTCATAGACGGTGGCTTTGCAAGCCTTTCGTCGTTTTGAGACATTTTCTTTCCAGTATGTTGGTGTTTGAGCGGACGGACTACGGGTACAACAAGGACGCCAACGGCATGTTCGACGGGCTGATGGGCGAGCTGCAGCGCTTCGAGTGCGACCTGCTCTCCACGGCCGTGTACGTCACCGACGAGCGCCTCTACATCCTGGACTCGGTGGGCGAGACGTTCCCGCTGCGGACGGGCGTGGTGTACCGCCTGTCGTCGTCCTCGCGCTCCGCGGCCAACCTCTACCTGCAGCCCTTCTCGCGCGGGCTGTGGCTCGCCGTGCTGGCCCTCATGGCGCTGTGCGTGCTGCAGCTCGTGGCCACCACGCGCTCCTGGACCCAGCCCAAGCACGTGGGGGCCTCCTGGACCACGGCGCCGTACAGCGTGGCGGACTGCTTCTTGGCCGTGATGGGCGCGCTGTGCCAGCAGGGTGAGCCTTGCGTCCTCTGCACGGTGGGCTAGAAGACCGGTGGAGGGCGGCCAAAACTCTAGACGCGTTTTGAGCTCCAGAGTCGCTAAGTGGGACTCAAAGCGAACGTGTGGCCACCAATGGTTTGCTCTCCGAACGCGGTCGGCCGGGGCCCAGGTTCGAATCCCCGCGGCAATATTGTTGTTTTAGGCGCGGACAGGACGCCGGACTCGGTGTCGGGCCGTACCGTCATGGTCATGTTCCTGTTCACGAGCTTCTTCCTCTTCACGGCCTTCTCGGCCTTCATCGTGGCGCTGCTGCAGGCGCCGCCGACGCCGCTGCGCACGCCGCAGGAGCTTCTCGCGTCGCACATGAAGATCGGCGCCATGGACGTGGCCTTCATCCACGCCTGGTTCAGGGTAGGCCACCACGCCCAGGGTGCTGCTGCAGGGCCTGCAGGGCCTGCACTGGAAGTGTCTCGCTCACTAACAGCGCGTCTCCGCAGGGCGAGGTGGACAAGGCGGTGAGGGGCGTCGTGGGCGACATCTTCGTCAAGAAGATCAAGACCCACGAGAGGCCGGCCTTCCTGCCGGTCTGGGAGGGCATTGAGTTCGTCCGTCGGGGCGACTACGGTTACCAGGTCAGAGTCGCGCTCCTTCTCAGAACGGGATCGCCTTTTGACCCAAACCCTCGCCGCCGGCTTCGACCTGCCTGCCTCTGCCGCCAGGCCGAGATGAACGAGGCGTACCACGAGATCCAGGAGAAGTTCACCGAGGGCGAGAAGTGCGACCTGTTCGAGATGGAGCTGTTCCCGAGCGAGGCCCAGATCATCGTCACGGTGGAGAAGTCTCCGTACCGCGAGGCCTTCTCCAGATTGTAGGTGTCGCAGTGTAGCGGCTTGGGCCTTGCCCGGCCTTGCCCGGGCCTCCCCTAACTCCCTGGCAGTGTTCGGTGGCAGCGCGAGACGGGGCTGGTGGACCGCATCGCGAGGCGCTGGTACGCGTCCAAGCCGCGCTGCGAGTCCGGCGGCCGCGGCTTCATGGCCATCGGCGTCCGGGAGGTGGTGCCGCTGCTGCTGCTGCTGTCGTACGGCTGCGTCATCTCCCTGCTGCTGCTGGCCGCCGAGATCCTGTCCGTCCGCCACCGGCCGACGCCGTGCTCGAGGCGCCGTACGGCCAACCACCCCGTGGCCGAGAAGGCCGCCGTGCCCCACAAGGCTCTGGGGCCGGCCAGGACGGTGTGGGTGGCGGAGGGACCCGCGCAGAACAGGCCCGCGGCCGGTGTCCGCGACCCGGGTGCGCTGCGGAGGCGGAACCTCGCTTGGCAGACGCGCGGCCTCGCCGTGGCGCAGTTCGCGGCCAGCCTCGAGAAGCAGCACAGTTTCGACTTCTCGTGATGCCGCAATGCCATGGACATTTGCTCCTACCATACAGGCTGCTGCTTCAGAGGCGTGTAGCGCCTGCGAGGTAGGCCACTGGTCCGTCCCGCAACGCATCGGCGTGGAGACGGTGGCCTACCTTGCCCCTGCCGTCGCCACGGCGCGAGATAGGCCACCGTCTCCACGCCGATGCGTAGCGGGACGGATTAGTGGGCCTAGCCAGACCCAGCAGCGTATCTGAATCCATCCATGTTTGTGTTTGCTGCACTATGTACCCATCGAGTGCGCACGCCAGGGAAAAAAAATCCTTCTACTTCTAATAAAACAAGAAAAACAAAAACAACCTGTGTCCCTGGACCAATCTTGAGGCCTCTAGACCAATCACACCGCAGCCTTTCCATGCCACAATTTTCTCGACCAATCAAGCGCTGTATGAGAATTTCGAAACGGCCGCCGGCCCAACCTTTGGCCCCACACAACAACAAAAACAAAGTGCTCGGAGTCCACGTAAGTTGACGGGTGTCTAATTTGTAAGATACTCCGTCTTCCGCACTTTTACCCATCGTCAACGCGTGGTTCGAAGGTAAGTTAAGGCTAGCTCTGCACTGCATAGCCTTCACTTGTGTAAATCATCTCTTGTTTGTTTTGGAACAAATCGAATCAGTAACTGTCATCATAACCCAACTGTTGCGCATACGATTTCTCATTATTTTACTTGGAAAATTACTTATCTACTACTCATTCATTTAATATATTTCTGAGCTTTTTTGTGTAGAAATGCAGCTGTTAAAAAGTTTCACTGACATAAGTTTATTTTATTCGTCCTTAGGCTCCAACATGACTTTGAAATTCTACTATGATTTGATGTCTCAGCCTTCTCGAGCATTAAAACTGTTCTTGACTGTGACAAAAATTCCGCATGAGGATTGTCCAGTCGCTCTTCGCAAAGGTAGTCATGCTCTGTTCATATTTGTAAACTTACATCTCCTTTACTTTATATTATGACATTGCTCTTACCGAGAAATCTGTTGCAGGTGCCCATAAGCAAGAACCGTTCTTGAGTGTTAATCGTTTTGGTCGTGTACCAGCGATTGATGATGATGGATTCAAGCTATCAGAGAGGTATAGTTGTTAGTTTGTTTCGACTGCAGTGTTGCATATTTAATTTCTTTTAATTAAATTACATCTTATCTCCTTTTGCAGTGTTGCCATTGTAAGATACTTGTCGCAGAAGTACGGTGTCCCAAACAATTTGTATCCCAAGGAGTTAAAAGCTCAAGCTGCTGTAGATGAGTTCTTGGAGTGGCAGCACCTTGATTTGCGTCTTGGTTGTGCCATGTATTTTCAAACAAAGGTACGCAAGCAAAAGATTGTTAACAATATATTACTACACTCTAAAAGCATTCTATGTGTTCCTATTGCCATCCTGATTTCAGATGCTGAGACCAATGTTCACTGGAAAGCCGCCAAATGAAAAAACTTTGGCTTTGTATCTAGACAGAATGAACACCTCCCTGGACAATGTTGAAAACATATGGCTTGGGTCTGGCAACCCCTACCTTGTTGGTTCACAGCTAAGTGTAGCAGACATTTTTGCAGCTTGTGAAATAGAACAAGTTGGTAGGTGGCAGTGGTTTTCTTGTTAGTTCTTTAAAAAATATTGACATTTGTACCACTATAAATTTATATTATTTTCTTTCAACAGACATTGATGTCACCAAGGAGAGACCAAAGCTTGGAGCATGGCTGGAGCGCGTTCGCAGGGATTTGCATCCTCACTATGCCGAATACCACAAGCTTATCAAAAAATTACACACAGCAACCCAATCAAAGATGTGATATTGTTGAATTGCATGAGTTTACCTTTGTTATTTTCTAATTGTTTAATTGTAATCATTCATCACATATGCTCTGTTTTGTATACTTTCTTATTGTGTTTTTGTGAATAAATCATCTTAGCAAGTGAAAATGATGTTCTGATTGATTTACTTACACTTTATTATTAACAATTACATTACAATTAAAGCTCGGCAGTGATCAATTGGCTTACTTTAAACCCTGTTTTAGCTTCAGAATAAATAAAGCAACAATAAAAGGTCCATTATAAAAAAACAAAAATGTTCTTGGATATAAAATAACACAGCACTTTAATTCACTTATTTTGACCAACAATCGATTGGCGCTCTGATAAAATTTTGGAAATAGAATTAGGAACATTTATTCATCCACTTTAGCCTTGCAGCTCTTACATTTGGAATATTATACCCTAGACTTATCCTGTAACATAAAAACAATAATTGCCGTACACTCTTATCTTTTGCGATCATTTTCTCTTAATTTAAGAGGTAAATTTTGCACCTTTCCGATATGGTTGCATCTTACGATTTGACTAGTCTATGGAACTTTAGAGTTGCCAGCCAACATTTTCTTAATGTACAAATAAAAATATATATATTTATAATATTTAACTACATTTTTGGCAACACTTAATTGAACACTGAGGGCAGTTTTCCATGCTTGGTTCAAAGGCAGTCATCTTCTTAGAAGAATCATAAATAGTTGTACGTCACCAGAGAAAAAAGATAAAGTTGATTATTGAAAGAGGGTTGATATTTTGAGTGACCACTTTGATGCAGCCTGTCTTTGGCAATGTCAAGAGTTACTATCAGTACTGTACAAAACATTCACTCTCGAAAGGCAGCATTTTTGTACATGGATTGGTGTCAAATCAATTTACAACAACACAGAGCAAGTGAAATTATTTGTTACCTTATTTTTGGACACAGCTCTCGATTCTCCCAGCAGTACCAGAGACTCCCCTCCCCTCCCCTCCCCACCCCTCCCTCCCGGCCCCTATAGTGTATCTGTCCGCCCCGGTCCGCGCTCTGGCGCGCCCCGCCCCTTGGACTAGGGGCTGGGGAAGTCCAGTCGCGCCCGGAGGCCTGCCAGAGGCCTTCCAGAGGCCTGCCGGTGGGCGTCCATGTCCAAGGCGCGGGCTGCGGGCGGCCAGTCGGTTGATGGCACACAGAACTACTCTATCGATCACATGTTCCTCTCCAGCGCCGAGTGCGGCCTGCGCTCAGCCGAACCAGCTCTGCTGCTGCGGCGGCCGTCGGAACTCGGCGACCGGCGGGGGCAGGGCAGAGTCGCCGTTCGGCCTGGGCGACGACGGGTACCTCTGCTTGAGGCAGACCGCGCACCGCGACACTCGCGAGTAGAGCGCGCCGTCGCGGCCCTTGAGCGTCTGCTGCCGCGGCTTCCTGAACATGAGGCTGTCCTCGATGGTGGCCAGCCAGTACGAGAAGGCGGATGTGAACAGGTTGCACTGGCCGCGGCCCGTGCACTCGATGAAGGGCGTGGGCTGGAACCGCTCCAGGCAGGACCCTGGCGACACCAGGGACTGGCCAGCACCCTCCGCGCCCGAGTCCGTGTGCTGCAAGGGGAAGACACAGTGGTTAGAGTGGGTTGGTGCGTCCGGTACGTCACTCGGCCAGCAGCCAGCACGCAGTACGCACCATGAGGAAGCTGTACCCGGACCAGAGCTGGGTCCAGTCCGCGGGGCACGCGGGGATGTCCATGCTCTGGCTGTGCACGGCGATGACGCGCGTGGGAGCCTCGCACACCGAGCACTTGGAGATGTACTTCTTGACCTCCTCGGCGGGAATGGGCGCCATGGTCATGGGCAGGGGCTCCGGCGTGCTGAGCCAGTAGCTGTAGTCGTTGCGGTTGGAGTAGTCGCACACGTCGTTGATGTTGCACATCATGAAGGGCATGGTGGAGAAGCGCTGCAGGCAGGAGCCCGGCGCGCCCAGGTCCTGGCCGTGGGCCTTCTCGTCGCCCATGAAGTGCAGCAGCGAGTAGCCGCTCCACATCCTGGACGTCCCGACCGGGCAGTCGGGCTCGCCGTCGAGCTGCGAGTGCCTGGTGAAGAAGAAGCCCCGGCTAGCGGGCGACGGGCCGGGCGGGGCGGGCTCTCCGGCCAGCCCGGGGGTGCCTGTCGATGAAACAAAACATGTCCAAATACTCGCGCGTTGGCATCATTGCAACCCGAGGCCTCTGCACAAATACACGCACCTGGCACTCCTCTTCGTCCGGGAGGTCCAGGTCGTCCCGGGGACCCGGGCATACCCCGTTGACCCTTGACGCCAGGGTAGCCCGGGCGGCCGCGGTCACCCTCGTCGCCGGGGAGTCCCGGAAGGCCGTCCTCGCCAGGCTTGCCCATGAGGCCGTTCAGTCCGGGAGGTCCTGTGAAACGAGAGCGTGAGGTCAGTAGTGCACCTTGCTGTGGTGCTGAGATGATGTCCAGTGTGACGCACCATCGAATCCGGGCAGGCCGCGGTCGCCCTGCTCGCCCTTGGTGAAGTAAAGCGGCATGTCCCCAGGCTCTCCCTTCCGACCAGGCAGGCCGGGCATGCCCGGTAAGCCCGCTGGCCCGGACAGCCCGGGGGCGCCGGCGAAGCCCTTGGGGCCCGCGGGCCCAGGGCCGCCCGAGTAGCCGTCGACGCCCCGCTCGCCCTTGGTGCCGTTGGCGCCGGGCAGGCCGGGGATGCCGTCCACACCGCGCTCGCCCTTGAAGCTGAGTGCCGCGGGGCCGGGGTCGCCGATGAGGCCCTTGAGGCCAGGCTGGCCCTGCAGGCCGTCGAATCCAGGAGGCCCGCGCGGCCCGCGTCTGCCCTGAAGCCCGGGGTAGCCTGCAGGACACAGGAAATGGCTGGGTTGCAGAGACTACAGAGAGGGGCAACCAAGGACCTGTGGAGCGAAGCGTACCGTTCTCGCCGACGTCACCCTTCTCGCCCTGTATGGAGATGCCGGGGGTGCCGGGGGCGCCGGGCTGGCCCTCGAGGCCGAAGTCGCCGGGGGCGCCCTTCTGGCCGGGGCGTCCGGGCATGCCGGGCAAGCCAGGGAAGCCGTCACGGCCTCGGTCGCCAGGCTCGGGGTTCTGGCCGGGCAGCCCGGGCAGACCCTGGGGACCGGTGTCTCCAGGAAGTCCAGGGCGGCCGAACTCGCCGATGTCGCCAGGCTCGCCGTCGCGACCCTGGTCACCGCGTTGTCCCTGCAAGAGGAGGTGGTTAGTGAACCGCGCACTGCGTGTAAGGACGCGGGGCGACGTGACGTCCCACCGCACCTTGGCGCCGCGGTATCCAGTGTAGCCGGGCTCTCCGCGAAGGCCCGTGAGTCCGCGCTGGCCGGGGTGTCCTTCGTCGCCCTCGTCGCCCTTGGTGCCCGGGAGGAGTGCCCTGTTGACGCCGGGGTCGCCCTGGAAGCCCTTCGGACCAGGCCCACCCTGCGGGCCCACTGGGCCCCACGGGCCTGGGTCGCCGGGAATACCTGCAAACGACACGTGCTGTGAGAAGGAAAAGAAAATGATGGCTGCTGCTGGGATTCGAACCCGCTACCAACCAGGTCTGCCGATCCAGCCGGGCAGGCCGTCCATGCCTGTCTCGCCCTTGATGCCCTCGGGACCTTGCGGTCCACGAAGGCCTCTGGCGCCGCTCAGCCCGTCGAATCCGGTGCGGCCCTTTTGGCCGGGGAAGCCGGGCAGGCCGTTGTCGCCGGCAATGCCCTTCTGTCCGAACGCGCCCAGGTCGCCCTTGTCGCCCTGCGCAGAGAACCACGGCGTCAGAAAGTCCCTGCACCAGAAAGTTTTCTAAAGTCGTTTTGTCGCTCCGCCTTACCTTCCTGCCGTTGTACCCGGGCAGCCCATCGCGTCCAGGCTCTCCAGGCTCTCCCTGCAGGGCCTCCGTCACGTTGCCGTCCTCTCCCATCTGGCCCTTGAGCCCGGGCAGGCCCGGTTGCCCAGGGAAGCCGATGTCGCCGGGCAGGCCGGGGTCACCGTAGTCTCCCTGCGCGCCACTGAAGCTGCCGTCGCCGGGGGCTCCGGACAAACCGGGTCGACCCGCGTCTCCGGTTTGGCCCTAGAGGACACGACACACTGTCACCGCCAGATTTCGGTACAAACGCCGCGCGCAGTCTGAGGGTCTGAAACTGGCTGCGGACTAGAGGGTAAAGTGAACGGTGCACACCTTGAACCCGGGCAGGCCGTCGCGGCCAGGATCACCCTGGAAGCCGAGGTCGCCTTGGAGTCCTTTGGGGCCGGGCAGGCCAGGGTAGCCAGTGCGGCCAGGCATGCCGGGGGGACCTGCGAACATCGCAAGGGGTTAGCTCCCAAGAGTAAAGTCTAAACCTGCAACTCCAACCCCTTAACATACCTTCCAGACCGAATGGCCCGCGGTCGCCGTCCAGGCCAGGTGGTCCAGGAACGCCCATGAGCCCGGGCATGCCGGGGAAACCTGGGACGCCGATGTCGCCCTCCGGGCCCGGGCGGCCGGGGAAGCCGATGTTGCCCTTGGGACCGGGGCCGCCGGGGTAGCCAGGCTCGCCGTCCGGCCCTGGAGAATGGTCAGTCAGTCACAGGAACAAGTACAACACACGCACACACACACGCGTACTCACCCTGCAGACCCCGTTCACCGAACATCCCCGGCAGCCCCGGCAAACCAGGGCTTCCGGGAGCCCCAGGGAAGCCCGGCCGTGCGTCGCCCTGCCACCCCTTGACGCCCTGCGGCCCTCGCAGCCCAAACTGGCCCTGGTCGCCCCGCTCTCCCTTGCTGCCGCGGTCGCCCATGATGCCGGGCCTGCCGTCCTGGCCTGGCGGCCCCTCGTCGCCCTGGTCGCCGCGCTCTCCGGCCACGCCGAAGAGACCCATCGGTCCCCCCAGGACAGCCTGTCCGGGGTTGCCGGCGTCTCCCTTGGCACCGTCCGGGCCGCTGACGCCGGGGATGCCGTCAAGGCCGGGCTGGCCGCGGGGCCCGCGAGGCCCCTGGTCGCCGGGCATGCCTTGGTAGCCGGGCGTGCCGGGGGCGCCCTGGGGGCTGATGCCGGGGGCGCCGCGACGTCCTGTCAGACCGGGCAGACCCACCTCGCCGCGCTCGCCGGCGATGCCAGGGGGGCCGCGCTGACCTGCGGGGGAAGCACGACTGTGAGACTTCGGAAGACTTAGCAGCCGCCAGCAGTCACCAGCACCACCGCAGTACCTTTGTCTCCAGGCAGTCCAGGAGCTCCAGGGTCGCCCTTCAGGTTCCAGGTGTATTGGGCCGAATCGCCGGACACACCTCTCTCTCCCTTTTCACCCTGGTCTCCCTTTTGGCCACTGCAAAAAAACAAAGGCACTGTAAAATTCGTTTTGCAGGAGAACGGAGAATGCGGGGAGCCACGCGTACTCACGGCGCTCCGTTCCAGCCGGGGTCTCCCTGCAGCGAAATGGGCCTGCCCCACTGGTCCACGGCGCTGGCGGGGTCTCCCTTCGGCCCCGGCCAGCCGTCCGGGCCGGGCAGGCGGTCCAGTCCGGGCCTTCCGGGGATGCCGGGCTCGCCCTGCACAGAAAAAATGTTTGACATGGTTCAGATGAGCTCACGGCGACCGAGTCACTGCCACTGCGCGCGTACCTTGGCGCCCTTGAAGCCGCTGATGCCGTCGTCGCCCAGGGCGCCCTTGAAGCCTCGCAAGCCTGGCAGTCCGGGTCTGCCGGGGAAGCCCTTAGGACCCGTGGGGCCGCGGTCACCGGCCAAGATCTGCGAGAAGGCGTAGATGACCCTGCCGTCGGTGCCGGGCCTGCCGGGCTCGCCCTGGACGCCCGGCTTGCCCACCAGGCCGTCCAGGCCCATGGGGCCGGGCTTGCCGTCCAGGCCGTCCGCGCCTTTGGGGCCGGGCTCGCCCTCGCGGCCCGGGTAGCCGAAAGCGCCCCTGGAGCCGTTGCGTCCGTGCTCGCCCTTGACTCCCTTCAGCCCGGGCCGTCCTGCGGGAGAGAGCCAAGTCGGTCACCTCGACTCTTGCAGCACTGAGCCGTTCTTCCCCCACGCGTAGTGGTGACTTACCCGACGGGCACAGGCCGCAGTCGTCGCCGCGGTAGCCCTTGTAGCCTTCGGCGCCGGGCAGGCCGGGCAGGCCGGGGCTTCCCTCGTCGCCGACGACGCCCTTGGGGCCGCGCTCGCCCGTCGGCCCGATGATGCTGCGTCCGATGCCGGGCATGCCTTTCTGACCTGCGGACGAGCGAGGCGGTGAACAACGAGCCGGGAATGCGGAAAACCCAAGTCGGCGCATCTCAACCCACCTCTTAAACCGGGTTCTCCGAGGTCGCCGCGCGGCCCGGGGATGCCGTCAATGCCCGCTCTGCCGTCCTCGCCGGGCGGCCCGTAGATGGTGAGGCCCGGGTTGCCCTTCTCTCCAGGCGGGCCGACGATGCCGACGGACCCCAAAGGACCGGGCGGACCGGGAGCGCCAGGGAAGCCTGCGCACGTATGACATTCCACCACACCGCAAAAACAAACAACAGCAAAAGCGTGGCGGTGGTTTCGAACACGTACCGTCAGATCCTTGCTCGCCCTTCACCGAGCTGCCTTTGGGTCCGGGCTCGCCCATGCGTCCTGGGGGGCCGGGCTCGCCCGGGGGTCCGATGTGTCCGGACCCGCCTATCCTGCCGGGGATCCCGTCAGGCCCCCTCGGCCCCTCCGGTCCTGGAAGAGAGAGGCACCAGTCAGAGCCAGGCTTGTCCCGCTGGAGCGACACAGTGTGGGCGGGTTTGACTTACCCGGGAGTCCCTGGATGCCCACCACGCCGTCGAGGCCGCCCTGGTCCAGTGTGGGGTCGTACACGCCGGGACTTCCCTCGGGGCCCTGCGGCCCTGGCGGTCCATCGCGCCCCGGCTCACCGCGTTCGCCCTGCAAGCCGCCAGAGCCAGGGGTCAGACACACTGTGGCGCCGCCTTCGCTGGAATCGCCGAACAGAGACTTGCCTTGTTGCCGTCCAGGCCGGGCAGCCCCTCCTTGCCGGGCGCGCCCTTCTGTCCCTTGGGTCCGAGGTCGCCGTCGCGGCCCAGCCTGCCCTGCTTGCCGCGCGGGCCCTCGCCGCCGGAGTGGCCCTTGATGCCGGTGTAGCCCTGGCGGCCGGGGTAGCCGCGCGGCCCGTGCGCGCCCTTCTGCCCGGGGAAGCCGCGGTCGCCCTTGTCGCCGGGCCCTCCGCGGAACCCCTTGGGGCCCTTCTGCGGCGGGCCCTCCGTGCCGGGCTGCTCGGCCGCCTCCCTGGCGGGCGGGCCCTTGTCACCGCGGTCGCCGGGGGCGCCCTTGGGGCCGCGCGTGCCGGGCTTGTCGTCGCCGCGGTCGCCCTCGGGGCCCTTCAGCCCGGGCAGTCCTGGGTAGCCCTGCAACCAAGGCACCGCGCGCGGTTAGAGCCAGAGCCACGCGGTCGCTGCCGGCTGCTGCTTGCTACTCACGTCGTCACCGTAGGGTCCTTGGAAGCCGGGGGGTCCTTGGATGCCTTCCAGGCCGGGCAGGCCCTGCAAAGGCAGACAGGGGCGTCAGCGCGCAATGAGAAGACAAGCAACCGACGAGGTGGTGCTCTTCCACTACCTACCGGACTGCCCTCCAGCCCCGGGTCGCCGGCGTCGCCCTTGGTGCCCTTGGAGTTGGCGCCGCCCTCGCCCGGCTCGCCCCTGAGTCCGGGCGGGCCCTCTGCCCCGGGCAGGCCTCTGGTGCCGGGGTAGCCGTGCAGGCCGGGCACACCGACGTTGCCGTCCGTGCCGTTGCAGCCGTCCAGTCCGTCGGGGCCCGTCGTGCCCGCGGGTCCGAAGGCTCCCTTCACACGACAAAAGCAGTCACAAGTCCGCTCCTCATTCTCAAGGGAGCCGTCGTGAGCTGAGTACTCACCGGTGTTCCTGGAGCACCCCTGGTTCCTGGAAGCCCCGTCTCACCCTGGACAAGGAAGCAGCGTTATTTGACTGAGCGAGTCTAGCGAGTCTAGCCAGCTTGAGGTGTCTGCACTTGGTAACTGACCCGGTAGCCCTTCTCACCGACGCCGCCCCTTTCGCCCATGTCGCCCTTCTCGCCGGGACTGCCGAAGGGCCCGTCGGGGCCCACCTCGCCGGGCGGGCCCTCGCTGCCCGGTATGCCGCCCACGCCCTGCACGCCGGGCTTGCCCTTGATGCCGCTGCAGTCGCAGATGAACGGAGGTTTGTCGCATCCCGCGCACGCCTGGAACCAGAAGAGAAGCACTTTGTGAAAAACAACAACAAAAACAGTGGACTCGGAGGTCTCTGAGGATCGTGTTTTGCTGCCGCCGAGCTGGAAGTGGGTCATGTAAAGCGTAGGGATCGGCACCACCGCTGCACATGGCGCGGCACGTGGTTCGCGCAGCCCAGCGCAGCGACGCGCAGCCTGCCCTTCTCCAAGGGTCACCGTCTCGCTATCGCACGCCACTTTCGCCCTCCCGATAATTTGATTCCCTCCTGATTGTTTTTAACGACGATTCCCAGAAGCCTAGACGCCCTCCTCTGGGCCTCTCTGGGTCGTCGTTATCGAAGTGGGGAAATGGAGCGGCCACACAGTGTAGGGAAGGGCGCAGGCAGCTCCAATCGGGAGGCAGCGCGGGCAGTTCAATTCAGTCCTGGCGGCCAGGGCGCACACGGCCTGCATCTCAGCGGGAAGCTTGGCGCCGTAGCGCCCGGAGGGTAGGCCACCCAGCCGCCACCTGCGGGCTGGTGCTGCCGCGCTCCGCTAGCCGGGCGCTGGCTGTAGACCGCCGCCGATTCTCAGCCACGCCGCAGCCGCCGCCGTCGCGTCGCTGTGTCTCTTTCGCACCCCCGCAGGTGCGAGAGAGACGGCGCTGCTCGGAATCCGAGTCGGAGTCGGTCTGCAGCACCGCCAAATTAGTGTTACGTGACGGCCCGGTCCTTTTCTTGATTTTCTTTATCGACTCTGCCGTCTGCCTTATCAAACGACACCAAAGAGCGCGTTACACTAGTCGGTTGCGAAAGTCCGACCGTCCCCGCCTCGGTGCCTGCGAGTCTTTCTCGTCTTGCTCCGATCTCTGCACAGAAAAGCTGCCGCGGACAGGGATGGAGCGCCCCTCCCCCTCCCCTCCCCTCCCTGGGGGCGCTTGCCTCGCTCGGCTTCTTGGCTTCTTGGCTTCTTGCGCGGCCGGAAACGACCGCCGAGTCGAGTTTCTCTTTCTGCCGCGGTCCGTAGTTTCGATTCCGCGAACCGAACCGAGCCGAACCCGGCCGGACTAGGAGCCCCGCGTCAGCGCGTCTGCGCCTCGGTCTGCGCGCCCCGCCGCGTCCAGCCGCGTTCGGCCGCGTTGCCACGCGGACAGTGTCCCCGGGACGAGGCACCCCGACGACGACCGCCAACGCCGGCCGCGTCGAGGACCGCGTCGAGGACCGCGTCGATGCGCGGAAGTGGATCGACCGTCGGGGTGCTCGTTAGCCGAGCCGGATTCGCGGCACGTCGATGATGACGGCGGCGCGGCCGCGTAGGCCGAGGAGGCCGAGGAGGCCCAGCGCCCAGCCCCAGGAGGTTATCGGGCTGCCCCCACGCCGGGCTGGCCGAACACGGCGACGCGCTATCGAAGGGCGGCGAGGGCCGGCCGGGCCGTCGCAGGTCGCCGAAATGGAGTCACATGCCCCACGCGGCCATCGCGCCCGTTCGGCCCGGAACGAGAATCGCCAAGCCTAGGCCAAGCGCGAGGCGCGAAGCGCGAAGCTCGGCTACTTCCCGATGCCCTGCTGGGGCTGCGCGGTGGCTGACGAAGCGCTCCTGCGGCACCGCGGCACCGCGGCAGCACGGCACGGCGGCGAGGTGAAGGTGGCGGCGAAGAAACATGACGACGCCCCCTCCCCCTCCCCTCCTCCTTTCCCTCGATCGTGTCTCCTTGTCGCGCGCTGAAACCGCAGAAATCATGTCCGAGCGGTGCGAGCGCGGAACTTAAATGACAGGTGGCGCCGTGCGCGGCGGCGCGGCAGGAACGCCAAGCTCGACGTGAAGCTCGACGCGAGACGGCCAAACGGGCCAAACGGGCCAAACGGGCCAAACGGGCCCAACAGCAAGACAAGCCGACTCTGATTTCGGAAAAGTTTTTAGCTGGCTGCTCTGGCTGAGCATGCCGGACGGAGGAGACGGGGAGGGGGAGGCGGCGCCCTTTGAACTCGTTCGTCAGAAAGCTAAAGGCGCCGGCGGCGGCCTCTTTTCCGGCGCTAAGGAGGAGGAGGAGAAGAGAGAAGAGTTTTGAAAACGAAAACCGACAACGAAAACAAGCGAAAACGCAGCAACCGATCGGGCTTCCACAGCGTGAGACGAGCTAGAAATAGACCCCGATCGGCTCGCCTCATTACTAGAAATTTATGGACGACCCCCGGTGGTGGACACAATGAGACCGCCTCACAACACACACACACACACGCGCGCGCGCACACTGGTGGAGATCCGAGCAGAGACGTCAGTCAACTCCCCGCAAGTCTTTTGTCAGTGCATGTCATGAAGTCATGAGCTGACCCAACATGGCCATGGATTTACAGTCCGTCTGCCCACACCAGGCGTGCCTGCTGACATCCTGCGGGGGGAGGAGGGAAAGGGGGGCAGAGACACTGGTGCCATTGAAGCGCGGTGCCCCATGGTCTGGGAATGGATGGGCGATGTGTTGCTGGTGCGACACAGACACGACACACGAGCACACCGCCAGCATCGTGGGCCTTGAATCGCGCGGAAACAAGTCGAAATGACTCGGGCACAAAAATTGAAAGTGTCTCTCCTTGACGTCAGAGCGGCCCGCGCGCTTCCCGCCCCGCCAGGCCGGCACGGCCGGCACTCCGAGCTCTGCACATTTTCCGACATGTTTGTAAAAACGCGCGGCCCGCGGAAGTGAGGCGGGCCGAGCAGAAGAAAGCAAGCTCTTTGGGGCGTTTTGGTGTGCAGCCCCCGGCGGCCCCAGCGGCTCTGGCGTCTACGCGAAGAAGGCCCTCGCCCTGGCCGTCGAGGCGGATGGATGGGCGGATGGTTGACCAGTATCCGGAGCGGGTCGGTCCGTCGTCTAAATATTAACGCTACGAATAGAACGCGGCAGCGCGGCGGCGAGGGGAAGGAGGGGCCCGAAAATGCTCCGGCCGACGAAAGGGCCAAGTGGAAGTCGGGCCGAAGGCAAGCCAGGTTCGGTTCGGCCCCGAAATCCGCGCTATGCTACGCTACGCTCCCTTTGGTCGTCTTCGGGATGGAGCCTTCCCCGCGCGGGGACCGAAGGTACCGAAATACGAAGGGGAGGGGGCAGGCGGGCGAAGGGCTCCTGAGTGACTTCTCGAAAGGCCCTCAGCGACCCGCCAACACCCACGCGCTGCTCCGAACGGAATGACTGCTGGGGAAACGCGGATGAGTGGGAAACCAGATGGAGGCAGGGCGCAGCCTGGCGCAGCACGCGGCCCTCTCTGTCTCTCTCTCTCTCTCTCTCTCTCTCTCTCTCTCTCTCTCTCTCTCTCTCTGACGCGGCGTTCCGTTCGGGGTGCGAGTGAGACAGAGCATCCAAATGATTCTTCGGAATCGCTCGGTACGTAGAAGGCATTCCCTTGCGGATGGAGGCAGGAGCGCAGCCAGGGGGCTGATTCTTACCGTCCCCGAGGCCTTCCTTGCACTGCTCCACGCCCCACTCCGCGCGGCCCGCGTGCAAGTGCCCGTCACGCGCGTGTCAAACACGCTCTTCAAGACGCGCTGGCTGCGCTGGCTGCGCTGGGCGAGCATGCAGCCGCGGGGCGCGAAGCGCGAAGGGCGGCGGAGTGCGGCGGCCAAAGTGCTTTACATTCAACGGGACGCTTCCCTCACGCGAGGCTCGCACCGAGTCGATAGCCGAACCGTTCGAGATATCGAAGATCGAAGTGCGCGTGCTGGAAGCGCTGGAAGCTGGAGGTGGCTGCAAGGTGCCGCCGGGGAGCGAGCCGCACCGCGCCGTCGCTCTGTCCCTCTCGCACGCCGCGCCACGGCGCACGAGTGCGAGAGGGACGGAGCGACGCTGAGCCAGCACGCGACAGGCCGCCGCGAGCGTGCGTGTCACGCCCGCGATGAGCACGCCGCCCGCGGCAGGGCCCAGGCCAGGCCGCCACGCGCCCCTTGACTCGGCCGCCGAGGGAAACGATTAATGTCTTGTACATGTGTCGGCCTGGCGGCCTGGCGGCCACGAGGGGGCCTCCCCCCCGGGGTCGGCGTCGTCCTGGGCCTGGCGGCGCGGCGGCCTGGAGACTCCTCGCGCGGAACGTGCGTTCAACTCACCTGCAGGGGCACCCCCGGCGGGGAAGTACCACCTGCCGCTTTCAAAGGGCCATCGCTCTGTCTCTGTCGCACTCGCGGGGCGTTCCGTAGGGGTGCGAGAGAGACAGAATGAGCCTGCTGGACGAAATGCAACTCGGTCGCATCACTGCGTCGCGGACTGCGGACACAGCGCCTGCACTGTGGGGTATGTTGCGCCTGTTGGCAGTGGCGCGGCTGGCGGCGCAGTGCGCTGCAGTGCAATGTCGAGGAGTTCACTGACTGCGGCCAAGCCAGGCCAAGCCAGGCCATGCTCACCCGGGCCGTGCACGACACCGCAGACTCGCAGACGCAATCAAGTTCAAGGTGCGCGGCGCACGCCGCCGACGGGACTTCCCCCTCCCCCTCCCCCCTCACGCCCTCCTCACCGTGTTGCACGGCAGCTGGTGGGGACCACAACACGAGCAATTTGCCATCCATTACATCCGACTGTTGTTGTAATTTAAATCGAGAAGCACGAGGGTCCGTGCCTTACAAGTCACGTGGTAACCTGTGCAGCCTGCAGCACGAGGGGGCCACCACTCTCATTTCAGGCGTACACAAGATTACGGGATTACGGTAAATTTACTAGGGATTACGCGTGAAATTTTCGAAAATTGGTTCAAAAACGTTGAAAAATAGCTCAAAAACGTTGAAAAATGACTAAAAACGTTGAAAAATGACAGAATTTTTTCAAGGATTACGTGATTACGCCATGGATTACCAGAGATTGCCAGCCAATTTGTACACAGGATTACGGGGGTGGTGGCCCCCTCGCTGCAGCAGGTGCTTTCTACAGCAGTGCACTTTGAGGTTTGTGATGAATCAATCGTCTATCAGTGTACCCGTCCATTGCGCGGAAGGACGGACTTGGGCCCTCGTTGCGCGGCTGGCCCGGCGTCCTTGGCCCCGAAAACGCCCCGCCCCCG